TAAGTGAAAAATACATGTCCCTGTATATGCGTTTCTACAAAAGTGTCTCTAAATGGCAAGTGTAAATGAGTGTTCATTACATTTTCTGAAATTTTAGGCCAAAACTTTAAACAAACCATTACATGACACCATATAAACTACAACAAGATGATTGCATACTCTTTTGAAGACATCTCCTAGACGTACAAGAAAGTTTCACGTTGCATGACCACAGCTCATAATTGTCTCGGAAATGGCAGTGCCAAATTTTCTTCCGCATGGTACTGCAGTAAGTCCTCAATCCATGTACAATAGCTGCAGGCTAGCAAGACTCCTGCATCGCCTCCTGTGAGGTAGTGTTCTCATGCACTGTATCCCAAACAGCACCAACAGGGCTCTATAACATTTCTGCCCATTACACAGTATTCAATTTTTCCTGAAGAAGCATACTTTGAAAACAGATACATGAGGAAAATAGCCAAAGTAATTAATACTACATTCACTTCAGCCTTGACAACGAGCCAACGGAAGAGAGGACCTCATAATATTTATTTGGACTGCCTTTGTTCAAAGCTTCGGCCATTACGTTTTTCCCCCCTTATGCGCTTGAGGCGCAGCCTCAAGAAGTGCCTTAGGATAATGTGGAATGATCTCAAGGTCATGGCGTGTCAAAATAACTAAGTAGGATGACCATTCAAACATTCCCACCAAAAATGCAACACTGATGTACTATGCAAAAAACAACACATGACAAAAAGTTGCACCAAAAATCAAAACTGCCGTCAGTGGCAAAAGAAAGAGAAGAGCAGAAGCCGTCGAAGATAGCTGGAAGGACCACACACGCAAGTGTGCACCTCCAATTTATGGCTGACAAAACGTTGAGGTGCATGGCTTAACTGCTAAGGACACGAGTGGCTTTCCTGGATAGCATGTGACGCTACCACCTGTAGTGCATAAGTGCACGACACGCATACCAAAGGTGACGTACTCGCATGGCAGATATGGAAACTGCCGTGATGGCTTAACGACAGCAGCTATCACAATGACAGGCTTCTACATGTCACTCTACCTACACCTGCACTAATCTTTCACCTTCCAAGAGACCACCAGCCATCTGCTATAAAAATCACACAGTTACCAATTCAGTTATTTCATGTCACCTCAGCCAAAACATTAGCAACCTTTGTCTTGACACAAGTTCAAATTTACATTGTTGCATTTCCATCTTTTACAACAATTATTTATTAAACTTCTTGCTCCAGTCAGTAATGTACAAAATCCCAATTTCTATTTCTTTTAACAGGGGAAACCTCATGAAAGCACTCTTTCAGTATGTTTGAGTAAAATAAAAAGGCAAGAACATGATGAATTTTTTTTTTTTATCTTATAGAAGTAATTGCAAAATGTTCCATTAAAAAAACAAATTTTACACGAGTCCCACCTTTCTCAGACTATACTAATCACTAAGGGAATTTGCCATAGCTGCAATTCATTCTGGTGAAATTGATCCTGTGGGGACGTAGTGTAAATAACATTTTCCAGACATTAAATGGTCTGCCAACTAAGTTTTTAAGCTTCAGAGCGCGAAAAGTGGAGAAAATATATTTCCCAGCTGACATGTAGCGGCTCTCTTGACGGTGCACCCACCGCAGTGATGTATAAATGGCTGCAGTGTTCCAAGGCTGATTCGTGAGTTCAACTGTGGCTGCAGCAGCTGTGTTGCAATCGCTAAAAAATTCAGAAAGCGTTTGTGTACTTAGATTTAATGTTCAAATTAAATAACTCCATGTTGTAGAAATTATTTCAAAATTTTTCATTTTGCTCTCTCACACACATTGCCAGGAGACACAAAAGCTCACAAATCGATGAGGCCATCATTACACTACCTGCCACCACTTCATGCATTCTCATTATTCAGCTCAAGTGAATAAAAAAACAAGAAAGAAACAAGGGCAACAGGACTGCTTGACAGCCAATCAGTTGTCACTACGATATCACAGGTTATACAGAAAAGCCACCTATCCCTTGAGCAGTGCGGTGAAAACCACAAACGGCCCGGCATACATATCCGGCTTTTTAGATTTGAGACGCATCCCATCATCCCCTCGATCCAACACTTCAAGCGGCAAGAGCTCCTACCTCCCATTTCTTTTTAAGCTTAGACAACTTGTGTTAAAAGGTATTATATGTACACACACACTTTGTTGCAATCACAATAGAGCCCCACACAAACCTCTCGGTACAGACGCGATTCCACACAAACGACACAAAAGCAAACAAACAGAGCGGATGAGGCGACACCCTCTACTTTGCATTCTACTGCTCCTGTGCTGCAGTTCACATACTTCTGCATTTTGTCTTGTTTCTGTAGGGGAGTGTGCAGCAGCGAGACATCACAGTCAGCCATGCCACAACTTAGTGCAACAGTAGTTCTAGCTGCGAGGCAGGACTTCACACCGTTACTGTACATGCAAAATAATTAGACAAGCCCTGAACCACTCCTCGGGCTTGTTGAAGAAACATTCTTTGAAGAGCGAGCACTGCTACGAGCAGCTCAGCCAAATTTTGTGGTCATGCATAGCACATAGAGCTGACAAGTGGAGCATGAAGTCGCCGCTTTCTCATGCGCGCTTTTTTCATACAGAAGTATGTCCATGCTCTCTTCGAAGCTGCCAGCGCCTACTGAATTTCATCGTTTAGCAGATTGCTGCTATTGGCCGGTAGCAGACATAAATAAAGAGTGCCGGTTAAATCAGATGTGCTTCTTGCCACAAGGTGCCGCTACACGCCGAAGCCGCGCTCTATAGCGTGCTAAAAATTGCTCTTGTAAAAACACCGGGATAACACGAAAAGTGGGCAAACGCATTTCATAAGATGTACAGATCTAGATTACTGCCCCTTTGTCATACTCTCTCTGTAGCTTTCAGCGTGTTTGTTGGGATGAGAAAGTCCGAAAAGAGTCCGAAGCATCTGACTAGAGCTGTGCAAATAGCAAAATTTTGGGTTCAGAACACATTCAAATATTGAAGTGTGAGTGCAAATAAAATATAATATTTCTGAAATATTTTACAGAAACATTATTCCAGAAAATTTTTCTGAAGCGCACTTGCAGAAAAAACAAAACGTTGGGAGAGGATTTGTGAACACAATCTTATGAGATTGCAACACGAAAGTATTTTTTTTTTTCGCTAGGTTGGGAACGCCCTGGCGAGGTAGCGTGTCATAGTCATCTTATCAAGAATGAAGCAATGCAGAGGCCGAATCGAATTTATAGATATGATTCATGCAACCAAAGTGTTTCCGACAACACTTTATGCATGAAAGACAAGGATGCTATCTCCCCAGCCTCTCCTCCTCTTTCAACTTGAGTGGAAGCCCAACTGATTTAGTGGACAAGGGTGCGCTCCCTTCGAGTCGCGAGTCGCGAGATATAACGTCTGAAATTTTGGATGGTAAAAATTTTTCGAATCCTATTTTTTAGACTTCCAGCCCAAACTTCAAGTCCGAAACAGCACTGAGCCACCACCTCTGCTTCATACATAATCTCTATCTTGCAACCAGCGTATTCTTCAGCCAATACATTTGCGACTGCAGCATAGACTGAAAGGCAGCTTTGCCACAATATGAAAGTGATAGGGGAGAAGCATATTAAAAATCTGAAGGGGTCATTGCCAATCGGACATTGACTGTATCCGTCTTCGGAGAGTTCAAATAGTTCGAATAGTAAAATTGCAGCGGGAGCTGAATTTTGAATAGCAAGCACTATCAGAAAAATATTTGAAATTTCGAATATTCGCACACCCCTACATATGACCAATTCCTGCAACTCCTCTTGTTCTTGACGGGTTCTAAAGAATTTTTGCGGCAACTGATTCGTGAGGCGATCCTGCGCTCATCTGATGATTAATAGGCAAAGTGATTCAGGACCCCTTAGAAAGAACCAATGTAGCTTAAGCTACTGATATTTATACGTAACAGCCACCACAAGCTTAATAAAGAAGTTACTGGTGACAATATTAAGGACACTATGGGGGAAAATGAAGACAAGCTGAATCGTTAGATACGACTTCTAAACAGCAATCACGTTACTAGTTCCATTGAATGCAGAGATCTACAGAGTCTACCTGCAACAATGTGCCATATAATACTAATTATTATTTTTTGCAATGACAGTACTGCATATAAGGTCATTACACCAGAGTATCAATATTCTTTGCTATCATTGCCATTATAACTATACTCCTTGCATTAAAAATGCATAAAGTCTACCTGAAAATTATGCAAAGCTATAAAAAATTTTGATGTCCCACCAAGTGTGAGTGAATTGCACAGAACCATCACTACTAAAGTTTAAGAAAAATGAGAGAAAGTGTCAGCAACATCCCCTCAAGCTTTCTGGCAAGCTCGATACACTATTTGTGCAGAAACATTATTGATATATGCATTATCATGCAAGCACATCATCGTTGCCAGAGTTTATACTTTAACACTAAGCCATTTTTCACACATAGATGCACCAAAAATATGCTCGTTGTGTTCGCCACTCGAGCAGCCAATTGGGAACCTGTTCATAAAATCTTTTCTGAATAATTTTGGGCATTTTACGGTTGCTGGAATAATCGTATAAATGAAGACGTAGTGGATCTCTCCTAGACTAATTTTGATGTGATTGATATTTGGTCCATGGCACACGTGACCACGAGCTGATGCTTCAGTTTTAATCCAGATTGAGAAGGCAGCCAAATGTACCTGTTTGTGGCATCATGTTATCACGTGGCTGACTGATAAATGCTGCTGCTGCATTCTGCGTGTATTCTTGCTTTATAAATACAAAGTGGAAGTTCTTTAACAAGTTCTTTCACTCGGCTGAAGTAACGTGGTGCACTGGGCAAGCTGGGATAGGTTCATATTAAAACATAGCTTGAAAACACAATATGGGCACAGTGTCTTCTTCTCTATGTCCATTTTTTTTAATTTTTGCAGAATGTTTTAATACGTCCATCCACTCTGCTTGCGGCAGGGCGGGCACTCCTTTCAGTGAGACAGCTGGCTGACTTGGCACAGCAGACTTTTAGATTTGCTACATAGACAAACCTTTGAATGTCAGCATGACACAAAGCAATCAGAGACTTCTTCAAGTTTGAAATGCCTATTTTAAGACGGCCTCATATGCAAATTGACAAAAAGGTAAGCTTGTTTCTTCTTTTACTTTGATGGCTGAGGACAAGTTTGAAACAAAGAGAAGAAAAGGAAAAATAGGGGTCAAACTTACAGATAAAAAAAGCAAGTCAAGGCCACTTAATGTCAAAGGTACTCCAAAAAAAAAACAGATGCTTTTGTCCCTGAGGTATTATGGGCTGCAATGTTTGAAAACATAAATAATTATAACTCAGAGAGAGAATCCTCCTTTGAAAGCTTCAAACATAATGAAGTGATGCAACCAAATTAATGAAAGAAGTGGTCACCAATTGCCTGTATGTAGATATATATTCGATTCATTCCCCTGAAAAAAAAAAACCTAATTTATTTAGCAAGTGCATGTAAAATTCAAAGGGATAGCGATGGTCAGCCTTCTATATCAAAAAAGACTGCCTGTATAACCAAGAGACTTCAGCATGTATCACACGAAAATTTTTTACAAGTGTAGCACAGAAAAAGAAGAGAGACCATAACAAAAAGCAAAATAAAGCCATATCGTCTAGAACATTGAGTTTTGCACTTATATATATTTGAAATGTGCATTGCTTAAGTCTCTTACTACCTGTCCTTCATGAGTGCCATTACTGAACATGCCAACATATAAAATGCATTTTTAAAGAATACTTAATGCAGCAGAATTTGAACTATGTATATATATTGTAACGGCATCCTACAATATGCTTCTCTTTGAATCTTTTGCTGTAAATCCTACAATCCTTCTGTGTCTCAGACAGATGTTGAGGGCTTGGGTTGTGGCTTGTCTGTGTGTTTTTCACTTCGGTATTGTTATGACAGTGTATATGTGGAGCGTGGATGTTACATTGGAATGTGTGCCGGCAGAGTGTGCCCATAGGGCTCCATCACCCCATAAGTGGTACAGCAAAACAACAGAAAAATAAAAACAAAGAAGAAAGAGAGACAATTATTCGTTTTGGTGTCTACAGTTCTGTGCTTCTGGGGACTAACATTACAATAACTACGACGCTCTGCAACAACCACCTTCTTTTCTCCTGAGTCTATTTACATGCATACAAGTTCCCTAGACTCCCTTGCTCGCAAGCATTGGCGAGTCATTTCACCCCCATTTTCCTCCTCCAAAAAAAAAATGAAGAGTCTCATTCCAGAGGGTGGAGGAGGTCAGAACGCGCAGAGTGAAGCGAGCGTAGTAATAAACCGAGAAGCCCTTGTACTATGTCGGTGACGAGAAGAGAAAAGAAAGAAGAAATTGCATGCCTGCCACCTATGTGCAACGCACGAGCACCACAAAAAGAGGAGCGTCCTCGGACTGTCGCACACGAGCGTCCAGCGCTCGTTAACTTGAGGTGGCCACAGCACGTCAGTCTGTACATGGGTTGTCATCGCCGCATTGAGCTGATGTGGGTACAGGAAGTGTGAGGCAGTGGTCTTTCGTGGCAAGCCACAAGATCTTGATGGTGCGACATATCTCTAATGGCAGACTGATGACAGCACACGTTAACGTGCCATAGATCTACATGGCTCTAGAATGTCATCTGATGCAAGCAAAGGCAGGGATGAAATTGGTTGCAGCAACAAGGTGAGTTGCCACGAAAGGCCACTACAGCATAGCCCTTATAGGATGTGCTGTTTGTGACATTGGTGTAGGCGAATCGGTGCGCGCGTTATTGCTTCCATGACTAGGAAGAGGAACAGGAGACCCCCTTTTTTTGTCTCAGCAGGCGCTCTCGAGCGGCCGCCGGCGTCGGCGCAAGAACTCGCGCTTCAATGCTGCACAGCGGGTCTCAGCATCCCAGGCAGTGCTGTAGAGCTCACTGTCGCTGAGTCCACGCCATGCGTCGTCATCATCACCCAACGCCGGGCTCAAAGCTGGGTCGAACTCGTAGTTCTCATCCACAGACTGGTCACGAGGTGGCACCAGAGATGACGACACCAGGTTGGCCACGGGCGGACGCAGTTCTCCCTGCAGGGAGTCACCACGGGCCGCGCCAGCCGAGCTGCCACGTCCAGAGCTGCCACTCGTCAAACTTGCCGAATCGGGCCTCGATGCTGCCACGGCCGCAGTCGTCGCGTTTGCCGTGCTGCCTGTCGAGACCATTATCGGTAGCTCGGGAGCACTGTGGTGGCGCAGGGCCGTGCATCGAACGCGCTGCACTGCTCCCAGCAGGCGCTCGCGGGTGTAGCCACTGCCGCCATTTCTATAGCCAAGGCAAGGCGGTGAGCTTGTGGCTAGCGGTGGCTGCCGGCCAGTGTTGCCAGTGGCGGCACCGGTGCGGGGCACAATGGCAGGGGGTGCGTGGATGGGCCGGAAGCCACAGGGCGGCTCACGGGACGGAGGCGTCGAGAAGGTGGCACTCGATGGCACCGTGCTGGGCAGTGACCGGTCACCACCACTCACGGGGCTCAGGTCGTCGGGGAAGCCTTGTAGCAGCAGCTGAAGGCCCGGGCTACTCGCCCGCGGCGTTGTCGCCACGATGGCGGGCCGCCGGTTTGTCGGTGGTGCCGGAGGGGGCTCAGGGGGGACCGGCCACCAGGGTCCCGGGCCCGCTACACCAGTCACCGCTACACCTGGTACTCGGCCTTCCGGGTGTCTGCAGAGGCGTAGCACATACACATTTGAAGACACGTTCTCGAAATGACTAATTTATTTGACAAAAAACTGCTCATGCTAGCACATCATTCCCAGCGCACTCAATATGTGTAGTGCCAACTCCAAGGGTTTAAGAGAACCTTCGATGCTATGATGACCTTTTTTAGTGAGTGAGCTGTCATTCTACGCAGTTCTCACAAAACAGAGCCCAAATACATCAACAACATAGCAGACGCATTCATCTTGCAAGCAATTACGTAGCAATAGAATCATCTAATGAGAGAATTTCTCAGTTGTACGTGCATCTCAACAAGGAGAAAAAACTTAAAGGGTCCCTCATTATACCTCATTGCAAATTTTGGTTAACTTCTCAAATTTAAAAGGCAATACCTGGGGAGCGTTGGTCCAAAATAATTTTTTTTTCCATCAGCTCATTATCGCACATGTCCAAAGAAATCAGACTGTCCCATTACCATGCCTCCAAGAGCAGAGTTTTACAGCTCATTAACCCCTCTAACTAGTACTTGCCGTGCAACCATTTGCTACCGGCAATTGAATAGTGACCCTAGACAACTGATGTTCACGCATTCATGAGACCTATACCTATTGTCACATGGAATTATTGTCTACTCGCATTGTCATTGCCCTATAAAATAAGCTCACATCATGTTCCTGCACATTTGACTGGTACAGAGGTTTTTTAATGCACTCGTGACACTGAAAAATCAAGCACCATGCGGCTAAGTCAAAGCAGTCGCTTTGCGGCTGATTGCTTTGAGACTAACTTGGTTGGGTGACCAGGGTTAGTCGAACATATGAATGAGCATTTACTGGAAAAGCTTAAACTTTTCCTCTTTGCTGTGGACAGCCTGCATGAAACTTGGCTCCTTTGCATTCTCTCAAGAGCTAGAAGTCGTGAAGCAAGTCATGTTAATTAGTTCTTTTTTTGCTTCTCTATATATTTTGTTTTTGAAACTACTTACAGTGAGCACACTAAGTTATTGAACTCGGGCATGCTCTAGTCAGCAGGGTGCTCTCATCTAAACTTAACGGTTGAAAAGCGTCATCTGGAGCATGATTATGGAGCGCACTGCACATGCTCCAACTTTGGGATGGTGCATGAAAGCCTACACAAAGCTTGCACCTACTGTATCCTTCGATGAAGTGTGTTTTTTTTCCCCACTTTTTCTTGCAGCAAAATCAATGTAACATTCACTATGTAACGCTTTCGTGCCCCCGAAACCAGTCGGAAGAAACCACCATTACGCTAAGTTATGAAGGCTTCCCACTTGAGTGCATTCGAGCTTTTTCTTTTGGCGTTAAGAGTGCACTAACTCAGTGCACCTAGTGATGTTACGACACGCTCCACAATGGGTGAGGAACCAAAGCTACGTGCAGTGGTCAGGGACACTTTATAACAATTTGATCAAGCGCATGCATGTACGAATGAACTCTCATGTAGTTCTTGTAACACAAGCAAGCATGCTAGCGAACTTTCACACTTCATTGAAACACTGTTTCTGCGAAAAGAAGGGCATACCGCCTTCTACTTTAAAGTTGGGCATTTATTAATTTGCAGTCACAACCACCACCACCAAATGATTTATTCACCACACTTGTTTGTCTTCAAAGCCCAAACTCAGTGAGCGGCCCATTAATGAGAAGTGGACAAGCCATGCACCACATAGGTAATCGGGCTTGATCACGAGTGTTATGTGTGTATCGATGATTGAGACTCGAAAGGAGAAAAAAGAACAGCGATAGGTTAACTATACTGAATTTAGCAAACTACAGAAAACACTATTGCCGTATGCAGAGTTTTTAAGCATTTGACATTATTTTGAGATGCAGCCCTTTTTTTCAGTCACAATGTAGCTTATGACGAGTAAACAGCCTTGATGTTTACATGAGCACAGCATCTTTACTAGCAAGCATTAAGAGTCACATTAGCAAAACATGCTTGTTAGCCAAGAAAGCATTCTTTGCAAAACAGAGATCAGAAAGAAGTTACAGTGATGTAAAAACCTTTAGCTGTAAGTAGGTGTTTGATAAAATCACTGCAAGTTTCTGACCTAACCAGAAAGTCAACATCACTAGAGTAGACTAGAGTAGCAAAGTAAATGTCCGGATATGCATGATGGTAAACATGCATCCTGATGGCAAAAGCGCAGCTTAGTTCGAGATCAGGCAGTCAGAAAGTGAAAAAAAAAAGGAGGTTCACCTTTTTTCCTCCGTTGGTGGCAATGGTGTCAGTAGTGTGAGAGGGGAGAGAGAGACAGAAAGAGAGAAAAAAGCGGGCGGGGAATGAACGACGTCAAAGGCAGGTTCATGCGCAGGGAGGCAACCGTTCTGCACTGATCAGCAACTTGAAAGATATCACGTCTGTTCATCTGAGCAGAAACAGTGACACAGTCATGCTCTTCGCCCATAACACACGATAAGCTCTTCGCATCTACACAATGCACCTCACAAGAAGGGTTGATAACGCACCCCTGTTTGGAACATCATGAGATGGCTTTCTGAGCACAGGTCTCTTACATGAGAGATGTAGCTAGGCATGTTAATAAAAATTGGTGCTCTCACAGTATCATTTTCTGCCGAATCAGAGACTATGACAAAAATTGTGGCAGAATGAAATGCCAGAATTTAATATTGAAACTCTTCTATCAAATATTTTATGAAAAAAAAACAGCATTCCAAAGGAAAAATGTTTACACAGCCTCGTTATATCTCTACACATACCGATCACTGTTTTACGGTTTTTAGAATAGCACACAAGATCAAACACATATGCTATTTCATTCTTTGTTCATCTCATTATCTAGTAGAATTGCTTGCAAGGTCAGAAAGTGTACTGTGTAAATGAAGATGCGTTTTTCTCAGCTTTTGTAACCTCCCTGCTTCAGTGCCTTCAAGCTGAGTGGAATGATCACTGAATGAAGAATAAAGAAAAGCACAGTTAACTCGACAATTTGAACATCCATATGTGGGCACGACCATTGAACTTCGAAGATGGATACATCTGAAGACATCATGTGGAAAGTTCGAATTCGGCATTGAGCAAAAAAGCACTTTTTTATATTAACTTGGGACAATTGTTTACATATTTTGTAAAGGTAAAGCAATTTGATGATTTTTAAATGCAACTTAAATCAGGTTAATCAGAAAATCAACCAGTGTTGATGACTTTTTTTGCCCCTACACTGTCTTGTGCTGTTATAGCCTGGAGAGGAATGGTGTCACGATTCTTCTTCTCAATTACACGACGCAACATTCTGGAGTCACCTATTTACAGTTGCTTATGTATTTTCTTAAACTTGCATAGAAGCAGAGGTGCACATAATGTTTGGAAAATAAGTCTCCTAACATGTACCTCTGTGCCAACTTCTGCAAAACATGTGCATTAACTTTCGAGATATTTTTCAAGATATCAACAAATGTAGCATATGCTTCCACCACTATAATGTGCTAGTAGTAGTAGTAGTAGTAGTAGTAGTAGTAGTAGTAGTAGTAGTAGTAGTAGTAGTAGTAGTAGTAGCAGTAGTAGTAGTAGTAGTAGTAGTAATTTACAGCATTTCATAAGGAAAATCTTTGAAATTAGGGAAATAACACCGACATAAAAAGTATCTAATTTTCAAAATTATGTCTAAACTGTCCCATGACTAGGAAAAAGATACGAGCAATGGAACAGAAAAGTTGGAAAGTTAGGATAAAAGTGGTTCTGAAGAAAAGAAAATAGCCTCTATATAAAAGTGACAACATTGCAGATTTGATGTGAATTTGTGAAAAGATAGGAAAACTTACTTTTTCAATGAGACAGGGCTGCCTCCATGTGAGTGGCCACCATTACGGGCGTCCGCTACGGGGCATGTCACCATCATGTACGCTGCAGGAGCAGAGTCACCATCAGGAACTTGGTTGCGCGTTACCCAATAACCTTTGCATACACACAACCAATTAAAGAAATAATATTTCTCCTTTGTGTTTTTAAAGAGGCCATGCAACACTCTTTGAGCACGGTCAGAAAACTGCTGATCAGAAGTTGAGGCTCCCCAGAACACGTGGGCCCAATATTATAGCACAGCATGCGGCCTAAAATTTACAATTAATTCTCAAAGTCAGCTTAAACTGCTTCTTCTCTTTACAAATGATGCTATAGTGCACCCACGTCTAGGCAGGCTGGCTTATTCGAGCATCATTAGCGAAGTAGTTACTGCAACCACCTCAGGATGCTACCACATGCCCATACCCACACGCACGCAATCACGCTGAAGATAAGCCTAGACATTGAAAAAAAAAAAACATGAAAAGAAAGAAGTGATCAAGGTCACGATGTGCACTGACAAAAGAATGCATCTTCTTGCCCCCTTTTCATCCCCTTCCCTGCGTTGCTTACAGCCCTCTCGCTGGCACTAGAGGAGAGAGAAAGTGCTTGAAGCATGCTTCAAATACCTGTAACTCCGCTCACGCTTGACGGGGAATTTTTTTTGGCTTCGAGAAGCATTATGCCCAAATAGTGGGACTTTTCAATTGTAACTCAGAAAAGTGTTGCAGAGCCTTTTTGAGAAGACATTAAAGAAAAAAAAGAAAAAAAAATAATTTCTATCTTAGCAAATTACTAGAGCTGTGCGAATAGCGAAATTTGGGGTGCGAAGCGAATAAGTTTCTAATGTTTCTCGAATGTCTTTTTTAATACTTTGAAGCGAGAATGCAGAAAAAATGTTGCAGAGGATCTCTAGACATATTCTCATTTACATTATAAAAAAGAGTATTGATCTGCAACAGCGAAACCGGGCATTGCCATTTTGGTTTCGTCGAAAAGAGCATTTTTGAATTTCCCGTTTCAGCTAGATCTGCCATTCAGATATAAGTGTACAAAAGAAAAACGCTTAAAGTTCGTTTTGACGCCTCGTATTGGCCACGTCCATCACAATACTACAGCACGCCTAGCCATTGGTCCGATCCTTGCTTTAGAGATTGCAGTTCGATGTTCGCGCAGCGTGAGGTCACGGCTGTTGACATTCGCACTACTGAGCGACAAGTTCACACTCGTACTCGCTCTTATTCATGGGTCAACAATCATATTACAATAGTGCGCCGCACTTGTCGTAAACATCGCAGATGGGTGTGTTGGACCAAACAATAACTCATCGGACATGCGATCAGAGGTTCTGCTCGTGAGTACTTCAGACCTTGTGACGCGGAACATTGCAGAACGACCTTTGGTGTTGCGATCTAGCTTGACGTACTTTAAATCATGGGGCACTTTGGCCATGCACACCGTGATTGAGCTTATTGAGTTGGGATCGCGGCTGTAGGCATAACTCCGCTCATGTCGCTGACGTACGAGACTATCGAATCCGAAGTTTGTCGGCAAGAACATCGCACTAGCACAGATGCAAAAGCGTAGAAGCTACAATCTGCTCCCTCACAAGCAACAAATCGCAATGCCTGCTGACTCCTCGAAACCATAGATGGGCATTTTACACATCAGCAGCAGACCCCTGGGCTCGTTGAGCAGCAACCACTCGGTGCACCGGTGGAAACGGCTAGCTATTTCGCACGTCGGCGCCCCAAAACATAAAACCAAGCATTCTGCACCCATTTCACAGGTATTATATTTATTTTGCATTATTTTAGACCATTACTTTCATTTTTCAAAGTTCAAGTACTTCTAATAGCAAAATTCCAGTGCAAACTGAACAGCAAACAACTATTAAAAAAATATTTGGAAGTTCCAACATTCGCACGTCCCTACAAGTTAACCTGTCATATAGTATTACAACTATTGCAACAAAAAAAAATTCTTTGTCAGTGGTAAAACATTCAAAAAGAAAATGCAGCTGACGATGCCACCTTGGAATTTTTGCACCAATTCAATGTGACGTCATAAATTTTGGCTCCATCCGCTAAGCCCAACATAGTTTTTAATCTCTAAAAATTAAAATTACATCTGTTGTTTTTTGAGGAAGTCAGAGACGATATACCGAGTTACATGACGTGTCGAGCCATTATGGCCTGAATAAATACATCCAAATTTGTGACACAATTCTTACATACGTGTGAGAAGATTTTCGTACAACATTTAGGAATTGAACCTTGAGCTTAATTTAATCTTTTATCAATAAACTTATGATGGTAAAATTAAATCAAGTAGAGTTCTCAAAGACTATTTCACCAACTAATTGACTCAGTACTTCATTTCAACATTTCAACGTCTCTTTAAAATGTCGGGCGAATGCACAGGTGCAATGTCGCTAAAGAAATGCCAACTGTTACCTAGAACGACAAATGGAATAAAAATTATGATGCAGGTGTCTGGTGCACCAGTGCGCAGCTGCTTATCTTATCAGCATATACACATAGATCACTGTAGCATATGAGGAAAAGGGAGTAGCATAAATGTTGTCAAGGAAAGCACTTTTGCATAGACAAAAACCCTTGGCGTTATTATGGCTATGAATATATCTTTTGCTTATTAACACTGTTCCTCTCTCACAAGCATATTGTGGTTTTGAGACGTTAAACTGCAACAAAGTATTATTATTATTATTAAACACTGTTGAAACAAAGTATTATTATTATTATTGAACACTGTTGATCGCCAGGAAGGAAGGTGACACAGAAGGAATGTAGCAGTGACAAAACAGAACGCACCCTTCTCGGCCTTCCGCCGCTTCCTCTTGTTGCAAATCTTTACAGCGCAGACCGAGAGGATGATGGCCACGATGAAGAAGAGCACGCCCCCGACAACGCCCGAGATGATGGCCTGGTCCCGCTTGTACTTGGGGCCCCGGTCTGAAACACAGCAGCCTGGTGGCGCCGCCAAACAGAAACACAGCGTTCTCCTCCTCCTCCACTCTCTCCCCGCACTCCGTGTGCGCACAAACAACGATGACACCACGAGCAGGTCTTGCCAGCAAGGCAAGCTTGAGACAACAACTTCCCATTTGGGTGTCGCCAATCCAAGCACATGGTCTTCTGGCTTACGAACCTCGCCCCACAAATGTAGGTAATGCACAATAGTTCAGTTCTCAATTTAAACCTGTGCACATTACCATTATACATAGCACACATGACAAAAGCTACACGAAAACTTTATGGTGTGTGTTGAGCAACTAGGGGCAGAGCAGGGAAGGCTGTGAACTTTTTTTTATGCCTTTACACAATAATTCAACGTGCCCAAGCTGCCATGTTTTCTGGGTATGATGAGTAAAACTTTCAAAAACGTCTGAGACAAATATTCCTGTATGTGCGCAGAGCCCACAATTTCGCTTTTCCGTCAGTTATTTTTTTATATATAACTTCTCTTCACCTTTTCTTCATACTTGGGAAAAGTAAATATGGCAGCTACCAAGTGGATTTTTCTTTAAATTCAAAACTAAACAGTACTTCCTGCAGAGTAAAAAGCGAAAGAACATAATCACTGGTGAGATGGTGGCACCATCCATTGAAAGGAAGATTACGAGCATGCTCGCAACGCTCGTAACTTCTCACAACTGCAGCATGAGTGCGCCCCCACACATAATCTCTTGACAACATCAGTACAAAAGCTAGGCACAATGAATGAGCACAGCGATGGGAGCACTAGTACTTAGAATGAGTGCAGCATGTAAACTTGACTTCAGCAGTAATGACAAAAGCAAGTGAAAGGCCATAAGAGCATGGCAACAAAAGCATTTCATATTTGGTTTATGCTATTCAAAAGCATTTTGTAGGAACATGTATAGCTTGAAGATGCTTTTTTTATTCTATAACATTCCACACATTTTTTTAAACGATGCGGCAGGTCTGCGTTTTAACAATGTGGCAGAACAAGGTTCCCTTTTGAATGCTCCAGCAGCATGCACGAAAACTATTGCTTAAGAAATAGGTGAAGTACTAAATAAGGTATTACGACTAGCTGTATTTTACACCCATGATTCCACCTATAGGCACCCGGCAATGCAGTTTACGAGATCTGATGGTAGCGCTAGGACACAGAGCCTACCGAGTAGGCACAGCGAAACTGAGTCTTCCAATGCGTAGCTTAGCGAGTTTATGCAGCAAAACCGGACTTGCACGTGCATGTTATTTTCTTTTTTAGTTGTGTGCAGGAGGTCACGGCTGATAATGTAAGCACCCAAGAAGCGTTCTTTGAAAACGTGCCAAAAAGGGCACTGACACTTCAGCGAGAGTTCCATTTTCTTGGTATCCCTGGCGGTCAGTACCAACAATGCTGAGGCGGCCCAAAAATCTTTGTCGCGCCCTCTGGTCCACTGTTGGGTGCCTATGCGTGAGTAGTTGTGTCACTTCTTTTGTTACTTCAAAAATCGCACTAAAATTGACACACGTCACACACAATTGTAAGATATGGTTAGAATCTTGCTCTGCTTCATGTAATGCTTAGGCAAAGTATGTGTAAATAAAGTTATAAAGCACCACACGCTCAATCCTAAATAAGATGCAATTGATTGCATCTTTTTGTGACACCTGGCGCATCTTTATGGCTCTTAGCTGCACACATGGCAACAACACAGCCACAACAGCCTTGCCTTCTTCGCAATGCCACCTTTACATTATACACATGAATGACTGTTAGGAAAGACAACACAGGATCAAACAATAGCTTAAAAGTGGGAAGCTTACCTGCCAGAGTAAGTAATATTTCAGGGCTCGATTCAAAGGCAGAGGTAATGGAAAAGGCTGAGACGCGTATGTAGAACTTGGTCCCCTCAGGCAAGTCAGTGACTGCATCGCAAGGAAATTAATTTTACAAGTCACCCTTACTCTTGCATGGTCCAGCAATGCAGAGTCAAAAAATTTTCCTTGTCTCAATCACATCACACATCAAGCGCAATGTCCTTCAATGCATTAAGCTTCACTTCAATGTATTTATCAAGGAGTGCTCAGGTAAAAAGAATCTTTAGGACAGAGTTACTTCAAATATACTTTAAGAATTTCTAATCACCTATAAAAAATTGGGGCAGCTATGCAACAGTGGCACAAAAACAGGAAACAGCAGAGCTAATGGCCTTTTATCCCTCCATTTCCTCCTCCTCTCCCTCATTTTTTCAGCCTGTTTGCTATACTATACTACACATGGCTAGGCTATGCTTTATTCTCTCCTTCTCATCCTCATTTCCATTTCTCACACTCTTGCTGTACTATACTATGCATGACAATGCTACGGTTTCTGCTATTCCTTTTTATTCTCCCCACCCTCACTTCCCTTTCCCACCCCTTGCCATACTTTAATATACATGGCTATGCTATGCTCTAAGTTAGCCCTCCTCCTTTCCCTTTTCCACACCTTATCATCAGTCCTCCTCAACCCCACTTTCCTTTCCCACCATTTGCTATACCATTATATATGGTTATGCTAAGCTTTACCCATCCCCTCTTTCTTTGCTTCTTCTGCACCCTATGATTAGTCCTCCTCATCCTTACTTTCCCTTCCCCCCTCTTGCTATACCATGCTATATAACGATATGCTATGCTTTACCATTTCCCAGGGTCTTCACACATTACTCCTTCTTATCTTCACTTGCCTTTCCCACCTCTTGCTGTGCTATAGCTGCTCAGCACATACCCACTTTCTGCTGGGCATACTCAACCAGTTTTTGTTGCCACGATTAAGCAGCTTCACTGTAAAAGGCCATTTAAGAATTACTCATAGTTTTGTTGCCAGGCTTAAGCAGCTTCACTGTAAAAAGCCATTTAAGAATCACTCATAGTTTTGTTGCCAGGCTTAAGCAGCTTCACTGTAAAAAGCCATTTAAGAATCACGCATTGTATCAAGTCAAAAATGGCAATGGTTCCTCGGGACACCAAATAGTTGTTACTAATATCATTACCAAACCCTTAGTAATGCCAATAAAGAGACATTAAACCTACATACACTCTAATAGTCGTAGTGGGTCCGAAAGGCTACTCTTTTGTCATGCGAAAGTGTGCCGGACAAGTCACTTGTTCCAGTGCTACTGACATCCTTTCTGATAGCTTCAAAGAGTCTTTTTTTTTTTTTACTGCTTTGCAAAGGTAGCCAGCATTCTTCTCTTATGCTTATGTTCCTCTCCATGCCAACAGACTTTAGGCCTTGTTGAGCCATCTTGCAGCTTTTAGCATTACATAGCCTTCAGCATGTGCCCTCTTCGGTTTTCTCAATTATTTGACATTTAATATGATGCTGCCATGCTGGGTCGCCACAAAGAGAAACAAGGTGACAAGAAAAAATTAGGGGGCAGGGCCCCGACTGACTGGTGTATTCGCTGCCAGACATGATGTTGGTGCTGCGTGCCCATGGCTTGTCCGGTGACCGGTACTCGACGCAGTAGAAGGCGATAGGCACCGACGTGTTGACCGGTGGCAGCCACGTAACCAGCACCCCGGCAGAAGTCTCGCGTACCGTCACATTGCGCGGCGCAGACGGCTTGGGACCTGGCAATGGAGCCGGTGTAGGAGGGGCAGAGGAAGAGGACGAGGAAGAAGGAGGGAGCCAGGGGGCTGTGTGTCAGGCCGTGGGGCTCTGCCCCTGGACCCACTGGTCGAAGACGGTGCACGTCGCACAAAGCAGTGCACTACATCTGAGACGTGATGTGAGAGGCAACTAGTATAATAGCTTTCCCACTACCGTGAGAATTCTCAAGACAATGTAGCACACACTCGTTGCCTGGTCCTAAACATGGTAGAGAATGGCAGACATCGACCCAATGGCTAGCGTAAGTTCAACTGCAGAACATGACTGAAAAAGAAGGCTTCTTTTTTAATACACTATTGTAGAATCTATCACCGGCGTGTTACATTTTGATCTTGTGTGCCTCATTTTATTGTGCGCTTCTTCATTCTTTAGTGGTGCATGTCCTTCACACAGTCCATTGCTGTCATTATGAGGAGACAGCCACCTGGTCAAGTTACTTCTGTAGTAGCCCTTTGTGATTGCTTTTTTTTTTTCACTGTTAAATAAAAGATAAATTATTGAGTTGAAGTGAAAACCTATTATACTGGGCCCTTGACTGGACAGAACGTCAATGAAGAAGTGTGGCAGCTTGAGCTAGTTGGTATGGCATGACGATAGTTATAGCGCGAGAACAAAACGACGACACAGAGACAAGACATGTCTTTCGTGTCCTTCTTGTCTCTGTGTCGTCGTTTTGTTCTCGCGCTATAACTATCGTCAATGAAGAGTCACAGCTCTTTTATAATTTTCAATTCCCTTTCCTATATTCAACACTTCAAGTATTGGGTTCTTCACTACTACGATTCTTTTTTTCCTCTTGCCTCTGAACAGAGTAGCAGGCAATTAAATCTCAGGCCAACACCCCCCTCCCCCCATCATTCCTCTAATAAATTCTACTCTCCTCTTTGATGTGGAAACGTAACAAGTGACAGAATGCTGCCTGAAAAATGTGAAAAGTTGAAATTGGTTCAGCATAATAAGAAAGGGCTGGCATTGGACAAAGGCAGTTGAGGAAATACTGTGAGGCACTTGTTCTGCAACTAATAAAAATTGACCGCCAGTTATCGTGAAGATGATTATGGCAGCACAGCATGTGCAAAAGGCGAAAATTACTAAAAGTATGCACTATGATGGACCTACACATTTTAATAAGTTTGAGTAGAAATAACCTGCATTCTAATACTGCACATCTTCCTTTTTAGAGGTTGTTGGAAAAACCTACATTAGACACTTATTAACCTTATATTGTAATAAAATTGTTTCTCTCATTAATTGTTAAAGTTGCCAGCATCCCTGGTGTATTTCTTCAGTGACTTTGATTGAGTCTTCTTTCAAGTATCGTTACTTCTGTGTGTTCATTTTATACATACCAAACTGAAATAAGCTTGAAACTTCGAAAGCACACACACAAGCAAAAGTGAACCAATCTCGTTCATGGCAGCAAAGAAACCAACGGCTGCAAACACCTCAGGCAGAAGTAAGCAAATGCTTTGGGCAGCCTGTCGCTTCACCACATCTCACAAAGTTGAGATTACGTGACCTCCAAAACGCCAGGCACCTAGGTACACAGTGCACCCAAAACCACAAGTCATCTGGGCTCGGCTAGGCTTTGAACCCATCACAGATTACCAGCAATACGATGTACATGGCTGACTACATGCTTAGTTGAGTGTAGGGCTAATACAGCTTCTATGGCCGAGCTAGTTATGGGTGGAGGCATGTAATCACTTGCTACCAGTTGATGATGCTCCCTACATTACACAACTTAATGACAAAATTGATGAAATGCCACTGCATAGGTTTGCTATAGATACTGAAAGTAACAAACAGGTTCCTAGTAAAATACGAAGTGAATGAACCCATACATGGCAATTCAACAGAGCAAAAGAAACAGTTAATACTTTATCGAAATGACCAAGGTTTATTATTATTATTATTATTATTATTATTATTATTATTATTATTATTATTATTATTATTATTATTATTACATTCATTGGACTCTGAGACAGCAAATCAGGTATGTATTTTTTCTATGAATGAAAGAAAAGGTATGATAAAAGGGAGCCATTTTTGGTTGGAAAAAATTGAACTTATCTGTAGTTTTTAATTGAAACACAGTAATTATGTAGTAAACTGAAAATGAATGTGGATGAAAGACACCTAGCAAACAATGGGGACTGAAGCCGAACCGCGGCATCATCTAACACAATTTAAAAGAAACTGTCGGCAGATTCCCCCCCATAGCCAATGTGGTGGTCAGGGAAAGGGCTTTTCGAGGAATGGCCAAACACTGAGCTGTGCTACACGGTACCATCTGGCAAGAGAAATGTGCCACATTCTCTGCCATGAAGACAAGTGGCACTGGCTGACACTACCATGGTTACAAACACATACCCTCAAAAGTGGGCCAGCGAATGGTCACCACTTTAGTTGATCAACTGGCAGAGCTTGTGGACAGTGGTTCTGTGTTTCCACTGTCTTTTTTGCGCTACATTATAATTTTGTTTAGTATTGTACTTCCTAAGCCACTTTCAATGCACACTTCACAGCCTTAACTCAGAGTAAATGCAAACTTAAAAAACCAGCTCGACTGTTTTCATGTGTGAATTACTTTTTCTCATTTCTTGTCCCTGTTCAACAAATAAGCTTTAAAAATGTGCTGCTACAACTTCATCTTGAAAAGCACACTAATTAAGTAAAATAGTAAAGGGTGGCAGCAGGACTGAATATGTAAAAGGCAAGCTAACTGACATCCTTATCAAAGGACAGCAGTACCAGAGGGGTGACCACAGTGAACTTCTTTTTATCTTGACCTATATATAAACGGGCTGCTCTAACTAAACAAGTCTTGCACCAGCAGGTCCACCTCCTTGCCTGTGCATACTGGCTTATGTTTAAACTCCATAAGCTTCCCTTTTTATAGAATTTACAGGCATTGCTGTAGCCTTGTACATGGTGCCGAGAGAGCTTTTAAACTACTCTGCTGTTTAAAACACTGGGGTGCACCCCAGTAGTTATAGAGGCATGGCCAGGAACGAACAGAACATACAAAAAGCCAGCAGAGGCAGTGCAAGACAGCCTAACTACATAATTTTATAGTTAAGACAGTGCAATAAATAGTAGGAGGGGTTGCAGAGAATAAAATTGCTGTGAATATAATACCCTTTCTTAGAAACCACTTAGAAACCAGATGCCCACTGTAGTTATTAATATACTGAAAAAGAAGGAAAGAAAATAAGCTCAGTGCATGCATGGGCTCCAAAGCATCTAGTTTGTTGTACAGCTGCTGTATCTACACTGCACAAGAGCTTTGGAGCAGCAAGTTAACTTTTACTGTCGGCCTCAAAAAAATTTCGAACACCAGGAATGCCACTGGAAAGGCATGACAGGGTTCGGTGACACCAATGCTTACAAAGACTGTAACTGGGCAATAATCGCCTATTAGACTCTGTTCTCAGTTTCTTGATGAATATATATGTGATCAGCCTCCTGCCCACTATCTGTTGCACTGTGTGCCAACTGCGCCAGTTTCCAATAAGTGCTACTGTCTGCCGGAGCTACTCAGTGATGCCAGCTCCTACGCCATCCATGGACGCCACATTCCAGAATCGGTAAAGCGTGCAGTCCATTTCATGCGGTGTGGTTCCGGAAGACTGGAAGCTTGGTAATATCGTTCCTGTCTCGAAAAAAGGTCTTTCATCTTCACCGAGTAATTATCGCCCCATATCCATCACAAGTGTATGCTCTAAATTAATGGAACACATAATTTATTCCCGCATAGTAATTTTTCTACATTCAGTACATTTCCTTCACCCTAATCAACATGGTTTTCAAAAAGGACTTTCATGTGACACTCAACTCGCCCTGTTTGTTAACGACCTGAGTTCTAGCCTGGATAATAACATACCTGTAGACGCTATTTTCATTGATTTCGAAAAAGCCTTTGACAAAGTTTCTCATAACAGATTATTTTTGAAGCTTTCACATCTTAACCTTCATTGTCTTGTTTTTAATTGGATATGTCACTTCTTGACTAACTGTAAGCAGTTCGTTTGTGCTAATAACCATCGCTCCTCCCTATCCGCTGTAACCTCCGGCGTACCTCAAGGCACGGTCCTTGGTCCTCTACTATTCCTAATCTATATTAACGACCTTCCCAATAACTTAGCGTCTAACATTCGTCTGTTCGCAGACGACTGTGTCATTTATCGTCCTATTCACAATTCTAACGACCCTGTCATCCTACAGTCTGATCTTTGTTTGATTCAATCATGGTGCGAAAAATGGCTGATGTCCCTTAACATAAAGAAAACTTGTTTCATTTCCTTCCATCGCCGTCAATCCTATTCCTCCAATAAATACTTCCTATTTGATTCTGAAATAACAGCAGCTAATTCATGTAAATACCTCGGTATCACTCTAACTTCACATCTGACTTGGTCATCCCACGTTATAAACATCACTAATGACGCCAACCGCGTGCTTGGCTATCTCCGAAGAAACTTACGTCTAGCCCCACCTTCTGTTAAACTTTTAACCTATCTAACACTAGTCCGCCGGAAGCTAGAATACGCATGTGCCATCTGGGATCCCCATCAAATAACTCTTATTAAAACGCTTGAAACTATCCAAAATCGTGCAGCCAGATTCATTTATTCTGACTATTCCTATCTTAGCAGCGTCACCAAACTAAAATCTCAAGCTAACATGGTTAACTTAGCTCCACGCCGCAAAATTTCAAGACTGTGTTTGTTTCACACATTTTATCATGCATTGCACCTAAACCATGTTATCGTTCCAGCCCATCGTCTTTCATGCCGTATCAGCCATTCGAAAGCGGTTTATCCACCCCGTGCGCATACCACTGCCCATCACTCTACATTTTTTGTGCAAACATCAACAGAATGGAACGATCTTCCTGCTGACATCCTGCACCACTCCAGCATCGCCCATTTCAAAGAAGCCATTGAACAAATCATCTGTTTGTGAACTGTCTACCTCCTCATGTAACACCCCTTGACTGGGGCCCTTGAGGTATTATAAATAAATAAATAAATAAATAAGACAACTGTTTGTATCTTCACATATCAAAGACCAAACCAAGCATAGGCATGCTACTTTCCTCATAATAAAGTTATTTTTAAAGAGCAGATATGTGAATACATAGTAGGTCATAACATTTAAAAGCTTTTCCAATCAGCACCGTTCTTTTTTCCAGCAATACAAGCACCTTTTAGCAGGACATTGGTTTGATGCACTTAGTCAAAGTTTTGTACTATGCCATGCAATGAAAGCATATTGATTGACCATGCGGACTAAAGAACACCCGGAGTTTAAAGTGAACATTCAAAGCCAGAGCTACTGCAGTGGCCAGACGTACGCGACCTCTAGCCATCATTTCTAGGTTTCCTCTCTCGCTAAGCTACAAGAAGTTAACTTGCGCAATGCCGCGCACTGATGAAGTCCAGTAACCCTGATAGGTGGCCACGGGTATCTTGGTGCATGAGGTGTTGGTGGACCAGCACTGGTTTCTCATGCATCCAGCGGAGGGCACACTGAGCAGCATGGTTGGTTGAGGGGGAAAGGGCCAGAAGGAGCAAAAGAGAACAGACAGAAGAAAGGCACACACACACACACAGAGATCCACGAAGGTGCTAGCCCCGGCACCATCCCAACAACGGGAACAACAATGGAGGAGATGGGCAGTCTGCAACACAAGAAACCAAAAGAGGACACGCAAGCAAGCTTTGTAAGAGAACTGAACAATAGAAATACCACACCATGCATGCAGAAAATTAATAAATAAACCTAAAAACAAGAAGACGCTACATGGTGCAGTAGAGGAAAGAAACAATATCAAAAGGGAACAAGAAAAGGTTGGCATTCATGTGGCAAAAGAACCAAATACTTACAAAGTCTGAAAACTCATGCTAAACGAAGAAAAAAAAAACAGTGGCCGTGACACCAAAGCTTGGACAACACATTATAAAGTTGGGCTGTGAAGCAAGGAGAACACGAAAAGCATGTGCACAGTACAAGCAAGTAATTGGCAAAAGTAAGTAGAGTTCATTACTCACTGGCTTATTATAATAATTATGCAAACAGTGTATCTCAGAGCAGTCATCCTGAGCTCCTTCTACTGTGGTTATGCTGAGGGGAAAAAAATGAACTAGAAAGAACTGGTATACCATTGTGACACGCATTTTTCTATGGCCAGGATTATTCAGACATCTTACTCGCCATAATCATGGTGCACAGTAGATGTAAGCTTTAATTATTAAACAGTGCACAACGAGAAGCTAAAGCCTTTCGTTAGAACACTGGTTGCCAGCTAAGACATCCCTTGTTCACAAGGGGTTGATAAATTGTGGTGAAATGTTCATAGTAGTGCTTAAGCTCAAAATGCCTGCTCATAGTCACAGCAAATTCACAATCAACACTACTGTCATGTCCACTGCACAGCAAAGGTATTTCCCGATGATCTCTGGTGGCTTACATCCCAGATTAGCTGACACCAACCCGTGCTTCGAGACTCAAAAACTCATGACTACACCAAAGCTCTCCCACATCCAAGTGTACCTACCTTCAAGTAGCAACAGATTGCTGGTTGCATGCTCTACATGAAATGACACACCAAACTGCACTTCACCCTTGTTAGTCTCATGTGGAATCACAGCCACCTACTTTGGGACTGTAACCTAAGTTTTGATTTCTTGTAAGCGAGTCTCACACATGAACTCATTCCATTTCCTCTAATAAAGTCCATAGCTGTCTTTCTCCTTCTTCGTTATTTTCCAAGTAATTTTTTTTTTAAGTTCACATTTATTTGAATACCTTAAAGAATCTAAAAATAGGGCTTTTACAGAATAATTGAGCAAATGACTAAGGACATAGGATTGGAACCAGTTTGTGGGGAGGGCCGCGCACTAGTCTTTCTGTGCAATAGTATCTAGTAGCCTGCCAGGTACAAGCGATTCCTTACCTGTCGGAGTCCTGTTCACAGTGGGGATGTAGGTGGAGCCATATGCATCTGTTGGGTAGGCGCCTTCAATGTAGTTCCACTCTGCACATGGCACGAACCATCAACACAAATTCGGCAGAGTCCAGAGTGTCAAAATATAATATAAGACGATAATGAGCAGTTTCTTTCCCACAGATTTCAGTGTATGGTATACAATTTAGTGCTGTAGTTTGTCAAAGTTTTCAAGCAGAGACGTTTAGTTTAATACTGTTAATTTATCAGACTAGTACAGCAAATAAAAATACACCACATTCACCAGAAAGGAAAGCCATCTGTCAATTAGCTGAAGAAAACCACAGGGCACACATAGCTCTGCTATTCACACATTTTCCATTATTCTCCGTCATAGCTTCTACAGATGTAATTTAGCCTTCAGACAGGAACGAAGCTTTGAATTTTGTTATGAAGGATAGAGGTGGAAACTACAGGGCTTGTTTTTATTTGTTAGACACCTAATTGATGAGAACTAACAAACAATGATTGATTGATTGATTGATATATGGTGTTTAACGTCCCAAAACCACGATATGATTATGAGAGACGCCGTAGTGGAGGGCTCCGGAAATTTCGACCACCTGGGGTTCTTTAACGTGCACCGAAATCTGAGCACACAGGCCTACAACATTTCCGCAGAACTAACAAACAATGATTCCATGGAACATATAAGGGATGTTCTTGGTAGTAATGTAATGTAAATATTAAGAAACTTAAATAAACTTGAATGATTAGAAATCAATTCTGTCAAAGCCCAAAAGGTTGAGTAAGGTTCATGAAATGAAACAGGCTAATGTAATTAAATCACTTAATTTAGTCTTCAGCAAGATCATGGAAGTGCACTCCCAGTACAGTATGTTAGCATACACGCAATCGAAGTTTCAAACTTTGTGCCCATATAAGATGTACCATCTGAATTAAGCTCGTGGGCTGGACTGCAGTAGTCACTATCATCTTTATGTATAGGAAGCCTGTTTGAACTAAACAGTAGTCATGTAACCAGAAGTTTGTTCACGAAAGAAAAAGGGGAGGTAGACTCCAACACGCAATCTATGTTTGATACTGCACTGCATTAGGGGCACCCTCATGCAGCCACAGTGGAAATTTTGGCCATATGCTAGAAGTTTTACGGAGCATTCTACGACAGGAATTTCCATCAAGTGATTAATTAGTAGAGAACATAGGAGAAACTGAGAAGTCACACTGTTACTATAATGTGAAGAAGTGATTCTCGCTGCCAATGTAGGTACTATCTATCTCCTGCCTCGACTACTGTCCGTATGCATTGTTCTCACCCGCCTCCTCTGTACTGGAGCTTGACCAGGCTAAAGTCCACTTGACCAGGCTGAAGTTGAATCGACAGGGACAAATGCTCGAACAAGGATGAAGAACACAGGACGTGGACAACAGCGTAGTCACAACTAAACTAGTAGTGAGTGTGCATCTGTTCACTTCCTGTGCTCATCACCCCTGTTGGAGCGTTGCGCCAGTCAATTCAACTTGAGCCACATACCAACTACTCTGGCCGCAAACACTACTAAACACTTGACTAGGAGCAAATTTTTCAACAGTGATTAGCACCCCTCCAAAGCTTGTGCAAAGGAGCCAGTCACGATCAAGAAATGTGGCCACCTTTAGGTCCGATTCTGATAAATGTGATTGGCTGACACCAGCATTATGGTAAGCGTCGAGAGGAACAGTAAGGTCTCCAATATCTGGGTCTGTTGCCCAGAGCTGTTGCTTGTCATCGTTAGCTTGTCATCGGATGTGCTTCCATACCATGCTTTCAAAAGTCTGATCTTTGTGTTTCTTGCGTTTATGAGTCAATGTTTCATGCCACAAACAAGAACTAGAATTCCGAGGCAGTGCACGTGCACTCCCATTTTTTCAGGCAGGAGAACTTTCTCACCTCCATCTCAAATATCAGTGCCATTACAAGAAGCCATTCCAGCCCACACTTACACTTTTCTGGTAATTTTAACTTGCTGATGAGAGAAGAGGGGGAAAAGGCTCGCTTAGAGTCTTACATTAATCCGTGCCCAAAAATCAAGAAACACTCGAACTGCAATGATGGCAATAAGCGGATAGGATTTGTAAGTCATTGAAGACGTGCTCACAAATTTACCCTATACGTGAATAGCATAGTGTATTCAAAGGTGCTTGTGTACATCTGAAAACTCAAAATAGCATTTATGTCACTTGTGTGCAATTTGATTGGGATAGACTTTTGCTACAAGATTAGTCACAACCTTGCTGAAAATACCATCGGCAAGCCTTTTATCAAGTCAAAATAGTGATAACGGAGTAAAGAAATGGTCTCTGGTAGGCTTGAGCAAATATTCGAATGTTCCAAATACTCTAACCAATATCACACTATTCGAATTTGCTTCAATTCAAATTTTAATTATTGAAAATTTCGATGTATTCGAAATGAACGAATGAATGTGTTAATCCGCATGTAACCTCTGTAAAGGTGGTTTCACTGCACTGCATGCATGCTAAGCCATGAAAACATTTATTTACTGAAAGTCCGCACTGCCACAAAGCCCTACTTCAAAGTTAAATGAACATATCACCCTCACATCGATTTATCATTTTTGACATTTAGAAGCTTATTATACTGGCTTATATGCATCAAGTATAGTAAATAATAAAACTTTACACATTATCACTAGTATTATACCAAAAGTAAAATTCTGCTACAATTCAAAGTCATTTCCATTTCCTTTGAAACAAAAAAATGGCATTAGCACAGGCCTGGTCTCAATTTCAAGATATATATATATATATATATATATATATTGTGCAGGTTAGTTGGATCATGACAAATATGCCCATTTTTCTTCATAACATGTGGTATACACTATTCGAATTCGCTTAGAACCTAATATTCACTATTCGCACAAGCCTAGTCTCTGGCAAAGAGATGCATGGTAATATAGCCGCAGCAAGAACTCACTGGTGGTGTTTGCGCGCACAATATCGCTGTATAGTCCATCTCCAAAGGCATTGCGTGAGAGCACCTGGAACTCGTACTGGGACTCGGGTTGCAGATTGTGGATGGTCAGAGTGATGGCAGTTTCCGGATACACCCGGATAGTGCGCCACTCAGCATCGCCTTGCCCCACCAGCCGATACCTGTGCCAGTGGCACACGACATTATTTATAGAGAACAGATGACGATGATCACAGAAATGATTAATAGTAGAGAATTTATTTGCTCTGTAGTGAGTGTTTTACCAGTATGGTAACCACTGAAAGGACAAGAAAAGAGCAGAACGGGTCAGAGAACAAATCGTTTAGGGTATCTCTATTTAAATCAATAAGAAATCGACATGGCCAGGGCATGTAGGACGTGCAAAAAAAGTCAAACTAATCACTGGTCATTAAGAGTAACAGACTCAATTAGAAAAGATGGCAAGCCTGACAGAAGGAGACTGAAGGTTAGGTAGGAAGATGCTCAACAGATGATGAGATTGATTGTTTGTTTGTTTGTTTGTCCCTTTTATCCTGGCGCAACCCACCATGGAGGATCGGCCATGAAACGAATAGTGTCTTGCTATTGGCGGAACATGGGAGCGGCCTTTGCCCTGCAGTGGGCATAGTCATAGCAAGCTGATGATGATGATGATAACCACTTGCGTCAAAGGACTTCATGAGTTTGTCACATACCACGTTCATGAATAAGCATCGTGGCTAATGAAAACATCTGGACATTCCCTGTGGATCTGCACATGCTAGGACATCTGGCAGTTTTCCATCACTAACGATGTCTCGAAAAGTGAAACTTTAGTTTCAACGGGAAGCATTGTTGAAAATGGACTACAGTGCTTTTGGAAATTTTGCCAACCGAGCAATAGAATATTTCAGTTTGGTTCACTTATTTATAACAGCAACAGTAGAGACACAGGTGCTTCAGTCCTGTTGTCCAACTACTTATCTAACATATACCATGTTTTAACAATTAACTGCAATTCACAATTTACTGACAAATTTCCATTTGTGTTCAAAATCATTGTGCACGGTCATGCAACAAGTTGTCTTATTTGAAATGCAAAAGAGGGCTCCACTGCAGAAGCCATATTTTTTTGCCTTCCCCAACTCCACATGTTAAAATAGAGCAAAAATCAGCAACAATGAAAGAAGCACCAACCAAAGAACGTATGTCTGTGGGTGGCCTCCATCGTAACCTGGAAGCCACGAGACAGTGGCGGCAAAAGCGCTAGTGTTGACCGAGACATTGGTGGGAGCATGCGGTGTCGTGCCTGCAAAGTAGTCAACGCAAGCACACTCATTAAATGTCAAGGCACAAAAGCAAACTTGATATACAAACAACTACAGCTTTCCAGGTGGAACTCTATGAAGCCATAGTGAAAGTGGTCCCATATCAAAGCATAATTTTAAGCGCTCATAGAATGTTCTTTTCCTTTCGAAAAATCTGTAAAGTGCCACATAAGCGTAATATTAAAGACTTTTCTTGTTATAACTGTTGCATGGCATACATTTTATAAAAAGTGCACTACAAAGGTTTTAAAACGCCAACCAAGTTTTGTTCAGATTACTTAAAGCAAGTCACATTTTATGCTACCAATACCATTGGTTAATCCCACCTAACGAGAAAATGGCTGTTTAGCAAATCGTTCTTCGTGAGCTGATTGCAGAAAACAATCATCATCTTAAAAAGTTTGTGCCAAGTATAATCTACAGTGATAGTATAGGGGATGACGCACTCTCAACAAGCAAAAGGGTGCTGGTGACCAGTGTGGCAACGTCGTTCTGCAGCACGCATTCGTATCGTCCATGGTCTTCCTTCTGCAGGCTCCGAATGGTCAGCTTTCCTTTACTGACACTGTGGCGATTCTTTGGTAACTTCTTGCCATCCGCCTGCACAATGCATCAGCAAAACTGTGACTGCACTGTTTTCACACCTGTCCACAACTGAAGAGTTCTTGAATATTTTGCAAAGACAGTGAACATGATGGTCATGCACAGATTTGTGTATTCACTAGGCTTGTGCGAATATTTTAATGCTTTGAATATTCGAACGAATGGTTGAGTATTCGAATTCGCTTGGATTCAAATTTAAATTATCGAATATTTTTGAAGTATTCGCAATGAATGAATAGGTGTATATTAGTCCGCATGTCACCGCCTGTAAAAGTGGTTTCACTGTAATGTAGGGGTGCTAAGCAGTGAAAACCTAACTTTAAAAAAATCGCTTTGCCCTGATGCACTCGTTCAAATTTAGTGGCCCTGCAACACTTGCTGAACATGGACAGAAAACGCTGCCGATCGGTAGTCGAGGCTACTGAGAACACGTGAGGCAAATATTGTAGCACAGCACGTAGACTGCAATCCACAATAAATTTTCAAAGCTAAAAATTGCTTTCTTTCCTCGGCAAATCAATGATTAATTTTATTAAGCTCGTTATGACGACTTATGTTATCCAAGTATAATAAATTTTAAACTGCTAAGTATCTTATAACTCGCATCCTACCCAAACTACTACTCAAGGTTGTTTCGACTTCCTTTGAACGAAAAAAAGATGACGTTTGCATAGAGCCCCTATTTCAATTCAAAAGAAATTTTGTGCAGGTCAGTTAGGTCGTGATAAATATTCCCCTTTTTTTTTGTATGTCATACATACCATTCGAATTCGATTCGAAGTCATTCGATCAAAATCACTATTCGCTTCAAATCGAAAATTCACTATTCGCACAAGCTTAGTATTCACAAGTAGAATTATGTATACTAGCTCCATACTAGTGCAAAGGTTCACGATGTGAAGTGACAAACGGTGTGAGCAGAAATGAGCAGGAGTGAGTACTGGCTAACTGGAGTATGAATGAACAATCATCATCATCATCAGCCTGACTACGCCCACTGCAGGACAAAGGCCTCCCCGATGTTCCGCCAGTCAACTCGGTCCTGTGCTTGCTGCTGCCACTTTATACCCGCAAACTGCCTAATCTCATCTGCCCACTTAACTTTCTGTCTCCCTCTCAACTGCTTGCCTGCTCCGGGAATCCGGTCAGTTACCCTTAATGACCAGTGCTTATTGTACCTGCCTGCTACGAGCCCAGACGTGCCTACGTGACCGGACAAAAATGAAGGTCGATTTCAATGGATGCTTAAACACAAGTGAGTGTAGGGAAGAATCAGTGGACAATATATGTTTCAGGGTAAGAGAATGGGAGAATACATGGGGCAAGAAATAGAACAAGGTCATTATTTATAAGGGCACACTAAAGGCAACCAAGGAAGTTAAGCCGTAGTAACAAATCAATGCCCTGTAAAGCCCAACGTGACACCTTAATTAAAGAAGCCTTGCAACACTTTTCAAGTAACCATCGAATGATTTCATCAAAGTCCGGTCTGGATCCCGTGAGCTGCTTCTCCGTCATGTTCTTTGTCAGTGTCATTTCATCAAAGGAGTCCATTGCTTTACAAACCGACTGCCGCAAGAATGTTTAGAATCCATCAAGTAAAGCGGAGTTGCAAAGATTTTTCGCACGTAGTAATTACTTTCTAACTTTTCTCGCCTCAACGAGTGCGCTGGATCATAAACAAGAAGGAATGGCAGGGGGAAAGAAACTACATCACGAGCACTTCAAGATTTTGAGCGTCCTTCGTTTTTATTTTTTTTTTCCAGACCTGCCGCTTCAGTGTGATCGCGAGCATGTGGTGGCCTCTCGTGGCGGCCGCAGTAACTAGGCAGCTCATGCTGCTCAAATCAGCCAATGGCAGTGAATTTGGGGTATATGGCATCATTTATAGAAAAAAAGGGAATGATTTCTAGCTGACAAAAAATGCTGACCACAGCATCAAAACTTTTGCACACCACAAAGCTATGCACAAGAGAATGCGTGTCTGATATAAACTGGCTTGCACACGTGCCCTCGTGTACATGTGCCGTCATGCAAACATGCTCAATATTAAAAGAAACCTGAAAAATTCCCACAGATAGAAGATTTGTATGATAGATAAACCCGTAACATGAAAACATTTCTGAGAGATCCATACGGATTGTCTTCATAGCTTTGTGTCACAGAAAGGAGAATTACAGCTTTTTATCTAATTAACCTTCCTACATCTGACTGCAGAAGTGATCTGCAAAGCAAGATACAGTGGAGCCCGCTTATAATGAACGTGAGCCTGACGCGGCATCCGTTCGGTGTATCCCGAAGTTCGTAGTAAATGAAACACAGCTTTTAAGAAAGTTGCAGGTGAAAACAAAATTTTTTGCACAAAATAGACCGTGATGCATGTGTTTCGAAGAGGAGGAGCAATAAGGGCGGTCTCAAGTTTATTTCAAACGGCAGCGTGCTCTTCGCCGAGGCCCGTGGCATAAGCTGCATGAGGCACTGGCTCCTAAGTTTTGTAGTTCTCGCAATCCACTATCTCCAAATCCCTCTAGCCGCGTACTTAATTCACAATGCCCTAACCCGTGCACGGTTTCACGGTGTCGGCATCATCATCGGCCGTAATTAAAACATCACAACAGATGTCCCACCTGCTCTGCCACACCGGAGTCGACGACGCGCTGCCACCAATCGCCGCCGGAGTGGTCCTGTTTGGAAGCTTCAGGCTCGGCATCGGGCCCGACGTCGACGAAGTCGGCCTCGTGAAAACAGTTTTGCGCGCATGTAGCCATCACCGCCACCCACGAAATATTCCCCTCTCAACAGCTGAATGAATACCAGGACCCCCAAAGCAGCAAGTTGGCTGCCAGGTGGTCAACAGCTATGAGCAAGCGCTCTATAACGTGGCACCCAATGCGCGGATTACGCCCAAGACAAGCGGTCACATTTTCGACGTTTTGTTGAGCGGCAGGAAAAAGCGTGCAAGGCCTCTCGTCCGCTATCCTCACCACACATGCACACCGAGAGCGGGCAAGACGCACACACGCAACACACATGCCAGAATGCGTGGTACAGCTCTGGGCCCGTTTCTAGTCAGAAAAGAAAATTCCTGAATTCGAGCCAGCGTGGCTGGCGTCGTGGAGCAGTGGAGACGGGCGAAGGAGTTGTGTCAAGAGAGGAGAGAAGATTTGCGAGAGAAGGGCAACAAGTTTCGATATGAAGAGAGGGGAGGATACGGCGGGAAGGCGACCTTGAAAAACAAAACACGCGGGAAGGAGGCAGGTGGGGCAGCGTGCTTGAAAGGTCCGCGAAACGCGCAAACTCGCGCGTGGAAAAAATTGAAAGAGTGGCTGCGCGCGCAGAGATCTACGGCCGCCTGGATCGGCGCATGCGGTGGTGTTCAAAGAATCGGCGGCCATGATCAAAGAATCGTTTTGTTGCGCCGGCGGGTTTGTGTGACCTCACCGACTTCGGTATTTTGCGACTCGTTCCGCGTAAATTAACAACCGTTTTTATGCTTCCGCGCGAAAGCGGAGGGCATGCCGAGCCGAGTGCGAAGTGAGCGAGGACAGGTCCTAAACACTAAAAGAATAATTCGCGAATTATCAGTGTGGGTGGGTAGAGTACGCGCATACACTAGAATGATACGATAAGACAAGATGCAGACGATCGGATACAGACGATGTTGGCAAATGGTCTGGTCCCTCCAGGCCGGCGACGTCAACAACAGTACGAGCGATAAAAAACAGGGGAGATGACTGACCAGTATTTGAGAGATGGGTGGCAGTGTGAAAACACGGGCCCTGTCTGGTGATGCAGGGTGCTCAGAGTAGCGGGGGGATAAAGGTCGGAAGGGTGCGTAACAAAGAGCGATCGGGGAGAGCGCCAACTAGAGGGGCGCGGAGGCAGGGTCGATGTTTAAGAATATGAATCTATGCGCACCTTGCCGATGCCTCATCCGTGATCGAAAGTGGTTTCCCGGGAAGTCGGCAGAGAGTCGACTCCGTTCGCTGTAACCGATCGGCGGCGCTCAGAGACGTTCGTTGTAAGTGCGGCCTTGTGTCATTGAAGCAATGTATACTTTCACGGTCATGCAGATATTGTTCGTTTTAAGTGGGGCCGTTATATGTGGGCTCGACTGTAAAACTACACAAACTACACATGCACCGAGCCTTACGAGTACCTTTCAGGCATTTTTGTAAGAGTACACAGGCCATTAGAGAGTGACGAAGTGCCGATCTGTTGAGCTCGCAGAAAGTTCGCAGTTCAGTTTAAGCATCAGACATACACTAAGTCTTTTCTTCTATTTTCGGTGTGTGAGATGTTCAGCATGACCGCATAATGAAGCACCAATTCTCCCTCATACAAACCCAGCAATTGTTTTGAAATAAAGAAGCATAATTTAGCCAGTACAATGCCAAATGACAGCCATGGCAAATTTCACATTTTAAAGACGGAAAGCCGTATTAGAAATGTTACCCTGTTGACATCATTGCACAATTTGGGCATTTTCAGCATGTCCACAAGCAATAGAAGTACTGCAATTATGCAAATAAATGAGAACTACAATTTAAAAAAAAAATTGTCCTTAAGCAGAGTAAAATGAGGAGTGATGCTCAGTCCTATTGATTCATGTGCCCGGAACACAAGCAAGATAGAAGTTAGGCTAACTTACCCTTCTCCAGGAAATGGTTGGCGGTGGATGGCCTTTGCCTTCACAAGGCATGGTGACCTCTGTGTTTCTCGGCTGCTGGTACAGCTCCTTGGGCTTCACTGAGAACATGGGTGGCTCTGCACGTACCATTCATATTTTAATTCAAAGGCCATAAAATCACACACATGCAGAAAAAAAATGGTAACGGAAGCAAGGAAAATACCAACAAAATGGACTGCATTTTTTGTGGCACTTTCAAATGGCTTGAAAGTAATTCAGTAGTGTCAATACAAGTGGGCAAGCTGTCATTCACAAGCTGTGAATGACAGTTGTGTTACATGAACTGTATATTAGGTCAATAGAAAAACCACATTGACCATACGCACTGCGATACAAACTGGTCAAAGCTGTGAATAGAAAGTGTGTTTACAGGAATACTTTACAGTTGTGGACAAATAAAACAAGAACGAGAAATTTCAAAGCTTGTGCTCTAAATTACATGAAAGTTAAATGTTAGTTTATTATAACTCTCACAGACAAATAGTTTGTTTTCGAAAATCTGAACTGGGCTGAGACACATACAATTTTGATTTATCAAACAAAATTTATAATATCATTTAAAATCTATAATCTCTGTGTTCATCCATGTTCAATTATATCAATGATGGCTTACTAGCATCTGTGATGACAGGTCACTAACTTAAGGGGAGACGCGGGTCGAAAAGTCGCGGTTTTCCGGAAAATTTTCGCTTTTTTTTTTCCGGCTGTATTGGCATCCTTGGACTATAATCTATTACTTCTGAAAATATCAAGCTGAAATTCGCACGAGAAATTATCAAAAAATGCTTCCAAGTGGGCAGCGGTGACGCGAGAAATGCGCGAAAGTCACGAAAGGCGCGAAAGTCGCAAAGCGCTTGGGAACTGCCCTACGGAAATTGGCAACGCCACTGCCACGAGGCGAAAAACTGAAAGATGCGACAATAATAAAACTACAAACATATTACAAGATCGCCATCACGAGCAACAAGGACAGTGTTCGAAATATGTACACTGCCATATGGGCATCGTATTTTCATTGCTGCTCCAGTGATGGTGCCAGTAGCCACAACTTTTGCCCCGCGGGACCAAATTCGTGGTGCAAGCACAAGCGTGCGGAAGCACTGGGGGAGCCTGCACCACGCCACACCCCACTGTTGACGAAGGCTCAAGGATTGGCAATTATGCCTATCTACAAGCGCCTTACATAGGAGAAACTCCTTATTCGGTGCCTTCATGGCAAGACAAAGAATGCAGCCGAATCGCTGAACAGCAAGATATGGCTGCTATGTCCAAAAACAAGGTTCGCCTCCAGAACAACTGTGGAGACAGCCACCGCTCTTGCTGTACTCTGGTACAACAAAGACCACAGGGGCTTTGAAGAAGTGCTCGAAGGCATTGGAATTCTCCCCTCACAAGATCTGGCCACACATGGTGACCACTGTGACGTCATGCGCATCAGGAAGATGAACCTGAAGCAAACTGCAGAAGCGAGGGCACACCTTCGCAACACAGCGAAGAGAGCTCGTGTTGAGGACACTGACCGCAAGAGCCGTGAAGGACCAAGCTATGGTGCAGGGGACTTCTAGACACTTGCAGTGCATTCAAGGCAAGGTACTTTTCATTGTGCCCCAATTTGATGCAAAAAGAATGATTTCCTAATAAATGCCAACTTTGCGAACTTTCAAACTTGTTTTTCTCATTTTCATTTTTTCTGACAGTTTCACGTTTTCCGGGCAGCCTTTTAGAAACTTATATTCATTGTATAGTAACGAAACTTGGCACACATATTCTTCAACACATGCAGAATGCAAATATCTACTCTAAATTGCAATGCCTACCAGCATTAGTTGTGAAAATATTAGCTTATTGTTTCAAGGGAGATTGAAAATAATAAGTCATTCAATACAATTTTTTTTTTTTGGTTCCAATATTTCCGTGACATATCTATATAGATATTTGCACTTTTCAATCTACCAAGAGTCAAATAAGATCAGACACAGTGCTTTTACTGAAAGTTTAGTACATAAAAGAGTGCCCGCAAAAAATGTAACTTTTTGCTATTGTCTACGGCATAACTCAATAATTATAGCAGCTACACAAAAAATGATTGCATCTTTGAAATCTGCATGAAAAACTATACTAATAACAAACTTTTCAAGTCTCTATTACTAGAAATAAAGAAAAAACTTTTTCGAGGAGCGTCTCCCCTTAAAGGGGCCCTTAAACAATTTTTCAAGTAACCATGGAATGAATTCACTGGAAGAGCTTATTGCCTCACGAATTCAAGACCACAAAAATTTTAAGAATCCGTCTAGTACGAGCGGAGTTAAAACGATTTATCACACACTGCCATTGCATTCACTCTTCTCTCGTCCCTACGAAAGCACTGGAAGCTAAGTAGGGAGGAATGGAAGGGCCACAGGGAAACATTGTCCCGCGAGCATCGTGACCTTGAGCACATTTTTCTTTTTTTTTTTTCTTCGAATGCATGTCTTTTTCAGTGTGATCACACGCACGCGTGGACAAGTGGCGGCCTCCCGAGGCAATCTCTGTAACGATTCACATAAAAGCAATCACGTTAGCTCTGTAACGAGTGAGCGCGCCATGTTCAAATCAGCCAATGGCTGATAGATGGGCTAGCTACGTGTGATTTTTGGGTAAATTGCGTGATTTTTCGAGAGAAGAGAAAGCAGTTTTTAGTTGACTGATAATTTATTGTGAAATCCAGGACCCGTGCTGCGCTATTATATTTGGCTCGCGTGTTGTCAGGAGCCTTTACTACCGATCTGCAGCGTTTTCTGACCATGCTCAAAAAAGTGTTGCAGGGCCCCTTTAATGTTGATACGCCTGTTGTCACCTAATCAAAACAAGAGTGAGCCACTGACAGGTACCCCAATTATACCATCTGCCATAAAATTCTACTTTGGCTAAGTTTGTCCTTAGACAATGCTGAAGCAGCTTTTGCAAAGTAGCAAAGCTTGTAATTGTACTTTTCTATTCAGTAGCCTATGGAACGCATCTTTCAATAGAAATGGGCATGGCATGCAGCGCATAGGCAACATAACCCCTGATAATTAAAGGTAACTGACTGTACTCCAAGCGAAGGCATACGTCAAGGGGAGAGAGAAAGTTAGGTGGGTAAATGAGATTAACTAAGAAGTCTGCAAGTATAATGTGGCAGCAGCAAGCATAGGACCGGGTTGAATGGTGGAACATGGGAGAGGCATTTGTGGCACAGTGAGGGTAGTCACACTGATGATGAGGAGGAGGACAAGGGCACAACACGTGCACCCAGAGGTTATCACTAAGGCACAAGCCCAAACAAGCTGCCTTCGAGATTTTTTTTTTTTTTTCTCCCTCCAAATGTAGAACAGGTAACATCTTATTTTAGAGTTCATGACGAGTAGCTGGGCATCACTCCTGGTGAATGAAAATCGTGCGACTTTTCTCAGTTTCACCATCAAGAATAACTGTTTTTTAGCTTTTAGTGACGCTACTGCTTGCATTCAAGAAGACCAGCCTTGTATTGACGTATCTCGATACCTATGTTACCGTAACTAGGCCCAATATGTCATTGCAGTTGGCCTTTATGAAGCTATACTTTTTGGCACTGAAGCTGGCTTAGGCTAGCCTGTGCCGTGGCCTGTGTCGGTACATTAACTGTATTTTATACAGCCCAAAACCACTGGCTCAGCCAGCAGGTCAGACGATTTCGCATTGACCAATCAGCTGTAAGAGTGCACATTTTAAATGTAGCAGTGAATTTGCAACTTCATGAGACGTCCATTGAAATGTCATTGCCTTAGCCAACCTGTTACGTGATCTCACTTTGACCAATCAGGTGTGAATGCCTGCATTTCAAATCTAGCAGTAGATTCATAGCATAATTTTATCTCACTAGCCAAGCATATAGACTCTTACACTTTTCTATCCACACATGTTCCCACTAGCCAACCGAGACTCACGGGTGCGAACGTTCACTCTGATCTGTGACCATGCAAAACTGAAACAATTAATTCGCTAGCAGATAGCTGATGCGAATTTGCAAACCAAACATAGGGTAACATGACAACAAAATGTTGCCACCCCTACTGAGGCCACAGCAAGAAATGACACAAAAGGGCTAACTGCACATCGACAGCTTTGTTCTACGATCATTGTCACGCAGTGAATGGGCCATAGATTTTTGTCTTTAACACTGTCTACAACAGTCATTAGTTGCAACAGTGCTTCTTATCACCGCGCGACACGACCAGATGTATTTTTCTCAGCCCCTGACGGCGTGAGAGGCTTTTGCGTGCAGCAGTACTCACCCCGTACGAGCACTTCCATAACAGCAGAAGATCCTCCCGTGGAGTGGATGTTGAAGGGGGAACATAAGTAGCGCCCTTGGTGCTCATACGAAACACGTTGAAAGAAGAGCGAGCCGTTGCTCAGGTTGACAACACCATTGAGGGCATTGGCCTCAAAGGGCCGGTTGTCCTTGAACCAGGTGACAAATTGAATTGGTGGATTGGCTTGGATGTAGCAGCGCACTACTCCGGATAAGTTCAGAGGCATGTACTGGAAGGCTGGCGTGAAGTTCACCCTAGCTGGGTCTGCGCACAAAACGGTGGGCAGAGGATGTAAGAAGCAAGGTGAAGTACTAATTGCAGTCGCATAATGGTAAGCAACTGATGGTTCTCTTTCATTCATGCTTGGCTGGCATAAGCTGCGGCTTTCACTGCACTAAACGGAGGTCAGAAAGACAGTAATCGCTGTTGGCAAAGCAGCAATAAAGAAAAGTGCATTAAAAACATGGCATAGTTGCTTCGATTCACCACTTCCCCTCAATGAATGCTTCAAGGTAACCTTTGCCCAACGGTAAAATAAATTAGGGTTTCATAATAAAAAGAGAACAGCACCAAATGCACCATGAAAGCACATTACAGTGAAAATTCGGTTTGAATGTCTTCAGCCCTGCACTCACACTCTATGTTGAGGTAGGCAGTCGCAGACTCGGGTTGGCCAATGCCATTTGAGATTTCACAGGTGTAGAAGCCAGAGTCGTCCGCTGCGGTGGGATTTATGAACAGTGTACCATCCTGGCGTACAAGCGTGCGTGTTTGCAGCCAAGTCAACTTGGAAATCTCCACACCATTGTAGAACCAGCGATGAGTGATGTTGGAGGGCAATGCACGTGCTTCACATACAAACTCAGCGAAGTTGCCCTCCAGCTTGGTCAGGTTCTGTGGAGGGGTCGTAATCACTGCAGGGCCTGTCATGCAAACACATTATTTAACATTAATTACTTTTTTTTTTAAAAGAGCTCAGAGTAAGTATTTCAGTTATAACTATGAAACAGATTTTCAAAGATCAAAACTCCAATTAATAAGTGCCTGAAACAGGCAATTAAATCTTAAATGCCTAGGGTCCAGATCCAGGATAGAGCTGATAAGCGCAACTTTGCGTGAAGCGGCCCTCACTCACTTTATAATGGACGCTAACCGACTAGCCTGCCAACATGTTTTAGCCATATGAAAGATTATTCTTTGCTAAGCTAACATTGTCATTATAATAAATGTTTAGAACATTTGTCTGAAAATAAACTGGAATATTATTGTTGGAGCTCATTTTGAAAGCAAGAACAACACACCAGCCACGATGACCTTGGCGAGCGCCGAGTCGCTGCCTTCTGAGTTGCGAGCCATGCAGGTATAGTCGCCCACATCCGTCTGGCGCAGGTTGGAGATGCGCAGCTCTGTTGGGTGGATCTGGATGTTGGTGCTCTCTTCCAGGGGAAGGTTGTCCTGGATTCAATGAAGGGTGCGCATTCGTTCTCTGCTTCAGCTAATCAGTAGCTGGTCTGGGATATTTTTTAACACATAACAGTATGGCCCAACACGCAGTAAGCATTACAAATCCCACAAGGTGACAGGTATCTGCCACCTTCTATGACCTTGTGAGATTCGGTAGAACCGATACATAATGACCCTGAAACTATGAGTTATCAATCAATCTGCCGTCACGCTGCCAACTTCTAGCTTTTCAATTGCATCTAATTTACTATTGCTCTAGGTTAGCTTGATTGGTAGAGCAACCACCCCAGAAAGGCGTCAGTCCCGGGTTAAATCCCCAGACCAGCTCGAATTTTTTGGCCGCTAAGAAGCTTTCTCGCAGAGAAACCAGAACAGATTTCCCAGTGGCTTTGTACTACAAAGTGGGTTGTCGTCAATTTCCTTTTTTAATTCAGTGGATAACAAATAAGCTTAACATAAGTCTGAGGATTGTACACCAAGCAGTAGTAAAGAAACATCAATGCCTAGAATGATGGCATTGTGGATTAGAGAACAAACATAAAAAGTATGCTGTTCCATTTAAAAGCTGCCAGATGTCTTAGGCAGGAAATGCAGTCATAAAATCAATAGCCTCTGGTTATACAAGCAATATAATAATGGGGCCAAGAACAGGAAAAGCATCTTATGACAGGTAAGAAGCAGGCGGCAAAAACGGATTGAAAGCTCAGAATGAGTTCCATTGATTCACCGCAAGAGCAGCCAGAAAGCGCTTTTATCCATTAGACTTGATAAATGATGATGTGATGATGATGATGATGATGATGATGATGATGATGATGATGATGATGATGATGATGATGATGCATCAACAATTGTCACATTTAGTTCAATGCCGTAGCAGAATGGCTTTAGTGGGATTAAGGGGGAGGACTGGTCTTTCGGACTGAAAAGTGACAAAAAACTAATTTTTTTTTTCAAATTGACATATTTTGTTTGTGCAACTGCTTTTCTATCTCTCTTCAAACTTTCCCACACCAGAAACTGGTAATTTTTCTTTTTTTTTCTTTTTTTGTTATGTCATTCCAACTGTCTAGATTTTTGGTGGTACCAACATGGAGGATCTGCGAAAAAATGGAGAGCCTACTTTGAGGCTTCTTTATAATTTGCAAGCACCTGTGTTTGAAGCTCTGCCACCAATTTATGAGTGCCTTTATGAGCATTGAAAAACATGCACACTGTGATTATTGTTTTTTGAAGAAACTGTGAGTTATCAGTTTTTTAGATTTTTCTCGAAAAAGTAAAGTTACGACTGTTCAATTTTGAGGCCTCAATATCTCTGCAGCTAGGGCAGGTACTACAATAAATCTGTTTGCAATGGAAACCTGTACGTGTATAGAATGCAAGTATGAGAGCATAATTTAGAGCACCAGACTTTTTAATTAATTATTCATCAAAACTATAACATAATGCTAACTGCTTTTGAAAATGGAAAGTTCATTTTGCTGTAAATTAAATAAGAAAGGCAAAAAAACAAAAAACTATTACATACTTTTAATTATTAGTCATTAGTTTATGTTGCCGCATTTTGAATACCACTTTTAGTCAAGCACTCTTTTTTTCTACGTGGCCTTAAACATAGGTGGTGAACTTAGGTTATCTCAGGAACAAGGTAAGTCACAGGAAAACTAATTAAATATTTGAAATAAGCTTAGAAAAAATCTGCATAAACCTACGCAGTTTGATCAAGATCAGTCTAAATGTCTAAGATGATAAATGTCTAAGATGAGTCTACCCTTTTAAAGAAAATCTGCTCTTGCAATACTACAAAGTACGGTAGTGCCCATGAGACAATTCATCATCATCAGCAGCCTGACAACGCCAAAGGACTCTGCAAAGAACTCTGCCATGTTGACCAATCAACCCGATCCTGTGCTTGTTGCTTACATGTCTTACGAGCAAGCTTCCTTATCGTAAACTTAAACCGTAAACTTAAATTGGACAATTGGAAAGCTTTGAAGTTCAACCTATTATTTAAGAGCTCAGTTCAAACACGTTCTACACTGTCCTTGTGTGAAAAGAAATAAAGTTATTTTGATAAAGAGTGCCTCGAGGCTCGTTTCACTAGTGTTTGATTTTGCATTCATGCAAAAAAAGGGGGGGAGGGGGGTGATGTCATTATAATACTTAAGACAAAGACATAAATTCAGAAAAATCCCAAACAAATATGCACATTTTGCCATGGTGGCCATTTTGTTTTTTAAATACAGGTTGTATTTTTAATTATCAAAAAATAATCATGATTTAATCAAGTACATTATCATACATTTACACTTCATGTAATTACACTCAAACTATGTATTGCATTTTCTTGAAAACTAATCGAATGGCAATTCCACCTTTAACGAAGCTTCACACAGCGAACACATGCACTTCACACAGACGGACAAGTACAGTGTTGGTCAAAACTTCTCCGGCTGCAATGCCCGACCGAGGAACAGCAGCTCACTGTTATTGGGGCACTGTTATTGCAATCACGTGTTGGCACGCTGGCGCGGAGTGTGTGCATGAAGGGGTCCGTGCATCCCTCTCTCTTTCTTGCTCTCCTTCGTAAGAAACTGAGGAATAAACAAGCTGCGTCGTGCACCCTCACATTCGCTCCTCGAATTTTATACTACTATGCAGTGCTGCTTATTCCACTGAGATGACCCAGATAGCCCCAACTCAATGCTATTCTCACACTTCTCAATACTTTCGAGCTACAACCATGTTCGTCTGCAGCAGACTGCAAATTGGCCTCTGCATAGGGCTGAGAGAGTTGCCGTAGTGCCATTAGAAAGTTAAAGGCATGATGCCGAAAACTACAGCAATGTATACGATGTCTAGCAAAATGCGGACTCAAGCATAATGCATTAGTTTCCCGGAACACTAACACCTCACTACATGCTGCACAGTCGCGAAAACTCCAAGAGCGAACAGTGAGGGTACATGACGCACCATGTTTATTCCTCGCTTTCTTATCACAGAGAGTGAGAGAGGGGTGATGCACACAACCCGCCATGCAAACGCTTGGCACCAGCATGTGCCACGGCATGATTGCAATGGCAGCGCCCCGATAGCAGCAAACTGCCGCTCGTCTGCCAGGTGTTGTGGCCTAGGAACTTTTGACCACCCTGTACAACACAATGAGCAGGCGTTTAAAAAAGTTGAAACGCTATGCCTAACTGTCAAGCAAAAGAAATATGACGTTTGCAAAATAAATCTCAAGAGGGACACTTGCCAAATAAAGGTTTGTTCCCCCCTAGCTTTAAAACAAGACGATAGTTATAGCACGAGAACAAAACGACGACACAGAGACAAGAAGGACACGAAAGACACGAGCGATATAGCGCTCGTGTCTTTCGTGTCCTTCTTGTCTCTGTGTCGTCGTTTTCTTCTCGCACTATAACTATCGTCATGCCATACCAACTAGCCCAATCTGCCACACTTTTAAAACAAGGGAAGTCAGAACCCCCCTCCTCCGCCCTCATCCACCATTTTCGCATTTACGACCATGACTTCAGGAGATCGAATTGTGCATGTATATGTACTATAATATAATATTTTTGAGCTTAACAAAAGGTGGACAAGCGAACTGACCTTGTACCATATAATGGTGGGAGGTGGGGTGCCCTCAGCCTCGCAGGGAAGCACCACCGATTCGCCCACCTTCACGTAGATGATCTGTTCCGGCTTGGACTTGAAGTGTGGTGGGGCTGCACATGAAACAGCTCATATGATCAACACATAAGTGTAAAATCACATCTTAAATAGCAACAGCTTAACTGAGTTTACAGTTCCTTCCACTCAGTTAAAAAACAGGAAAGGCTGATTCATTGCGAAGGAATAACGGTGTGAAAAGACAAAAACGTAAAGGTATTGTTCACATGTACTGCACACAGCGCATGTGTTCATGTCATGTTAGTCCAGTATGAATCAACACTAGCTCGCCAACAAGTTCTAACCAGAAAGGCGGCGCATTCTTCTGCAATGTACAATTTTTGTAACTATAAAGCTTACTTTCAGTGATACAGCTTGTCTAGGTAATAATGTCATGTTAATTACTGTCAACAGCATGTAAAAGTGCAGTTTACTAACTTCATGACATGCAAATGTTGTGGTATTCCCCCAAAAAAAATCTCCAGCACTTGCAGCTATAGCTTCTCTTCATTGATACCATGAAAGATGCCACAATGAGTCGCAGAATGGCAGGTGCACAAGAGAATTGTGAAAAGGTTTCATTGCCTTCAAGAATACAGATTAGAGAATAGAACTAGAGACCACACATCGCAGTGTGTGAGCTAGCCCTCAGCTGCACCATGTTCTTGGATTACAGACTACATTCAAATTTAATACAACAAAATCAAACCTGACACGAAAATCCTTTACTATATAAGAAAATTCATTATAAACATATCTTTGGAGCACTGTATTAATGACAGAGATATTCTTCATTTACTTCATAATTCGGTATATCTGGTTTCGTTATACCGAGATTTGAGTGTAATAAAAGGGATACAATGAATGCTAAATTATTCTTTGAAAAATCTACTGCCCTTAATTTTACCAACACTGGTTTTATTCATTTATTTTACCAACACTGGGTTTTTTTTTTTTTTTTTTTTTTTTTTGCTTTCAAGATGCAGCTGGTGAAATCTGGCAAGATTCGGAGACTAAGGTGATCACCTTTTGCGAGGAAAAGTTAAAAGTCGCTATTTCAGCTGATGCAGTTGAGAGGGCCCACAGGTTAGGTCGCTTCACGGCAACTAAAAACAGGCCTATTATAGTTCGGTTTCTGTCGTTTAAGGAAAAGCAGCGTGTTTTATCAGCTACTTCGTCGTTGAAAGGTACAAGCTTTGCTATTAGCGAAGACTATAGCAACAAAGTTCGACAAGAGAGGCGGAAATTAATTCAATTTGCGAAGAGTAAGGAAGGGGACTTCAGACTATCGTATAACAAACTCAAGATTGGCAAGGAAACTTTTGTCTATAATGCTGAAACAGACAGCGTGACTAAAACCAAGACATAGCAACTAAAAAAGGCCCTCGTAACTTCTAGACAACCATCCAGCCTGGATGACATCGTGTGTATTGTGGTAAATTGTCGTAGCGTAAAAAATAAAATTATAGAACTCGCCGCCCTCATTTAAACGACAAAGCCACATGTAGTACTTGGTTCTGAATCTTGGTTAGACGACACAATAAATGACAATGAAATCTTTCCAACCTGCTACACAGTCTACAGGAAGGACAGAAACGCGCATGGGGGAGGTGTTTTCATTTTGATTCACAATGCTATATCTAGCTTTCTCGTTGACGTTGAAGCTGGCTCAACCGAAATTGTTTGCTGCAAAGTACTCTTGAACAACGGCTCGTCTGTGGCATTCGTTTCCTTCTACAGGTCACCCAGCACGAGAGCCCCTCAGCCCCTTTTAAATTTAAGCAATGTGCTGCTGACACTACAAACTACATATATTGTTTTGGCACGTGATTTTAATTTACCAGATGTGATATGGCAGCAGCTTACACCAGTGTTAGTCAATTCATCCCTCCTGTACACGACCTTCCGCGAAATGATAAATGCCCATTCGTTACTACAGTTTGTGCAAAAACCAACACGAATTATGGCTAGTAGTGCAAATGTACTTGATTTATTTTTTTGCAATGTGCTTGATCTCATGTCTTCGATTACCTTGATTCCTGGTATTAGTGATCATGATGTTGTCGTCGCTAAGATGTCCTGTGCCACCAAGAATTGTCGTTCTGCGCAGCCTCGCTAGGTCTTTTTTATGAAAGAGGCAATTACGCAGCAATATCATGTGAACTAGACAATTTTTTCCCAGAGTTTAGGGCTCAATGTTCGTGTCTAGACATAAATGCATTGTGGGATCTTTTTAAGACTAAAATACTGTCCTTGACACGAACCTTCATTCCCTCGCATGTCATTACTTCCCAGCGTCGAAACGATAAACCATGGATTACTAAAGAGATTCGAACGATGTTAAACAGGAAAAATAGAGCCTTTCGTAAGCACTGCCACTCGCCGAATCATACATTGTTCGCAAAGATGAAGGTAATGAGCAAAACGATAGCGAGAGTGATGCGCAATGCACATAAAAAGTTTCTTTTCACTCTAGGACACAAAGTGAAAACTAATCCAAAAGAAATGGCGAAATATGTCAAGAGCAAAAAGAACTCTGGTGACGCTATCCCTGATGTCATAGATAAAAAAGCCTACGGCGCAGATATTTTGGCAAAAGCAGAGGCCTTCAATGCTTATTTTCACTCCGTGTTTTCATGCTCAAAAGCCGCACTTTTGAAATCACATGACGTCAGAGAGCTTACTCAGATGAGGGAAATTTAGCTGTCTGAAGATGGTATCGCATTATTACTACAGAAGATAAACATCCACTCGGCTACCGGTCCTGACTTTATTTCAAATTTTGTCCTAAAAACTGTGCATTGTCTGTCACCCCTTTCTTAACACTGTTATTTAAGATATCTCTTCAAGTTGGTGCTCTACCTTCGGACTGGAAAACTGCATATGTTCTTCCAATTCACAAAAGTGGTTCATAAACAAGAACGTGCAACTACAGGCCAATTTCACTCACAAGCGTTGCTTGTAAAACATTAGAGCATGTTGTTTATACAAATTTAATGGCACACCTTCAAGAAAATAGCTTCATTATTCCAACGCAACATGGCTTCAGGGCTGGCTTTTCTTGCGACACTCAGCTCGTAGAATTTAGCCATGACATCGCAGCATTTATTAACTCAGGTTTGCAAGTTGACTGCATCTTTTTAGACTTTCGGAAAGCTTTCGATACCGTATCTCACACCCTGTTACTACTAAATTTGTCCTACCTCAACTTGCCGAACACCCTCCTGAAGTGGTTGGAGGCGTACCTGTTAGATAGAAACCAACGCGCGATACTTCATGGTGTCCGCTCTTCTGATGTCTCTGTATTATCTGGAGTGCCACAAGGGTCCGTCTTAGGGCCCCTGCTTTTTCTTATATTTATCAATGACCTTACTGAACACTTGTCTTGCCGTGTGAAGTTATATGCAGATGATTGCTGTATTTACCGTGAAATTTCAAGTGAATCGGATAGTCAACTGCTACAGAATGATCTGAACAAAATCATGTCTTGGTGTGCGACTTGGAACATGACACTCAACCTGTCCAAATGCAACCTCTTAAGATTCACAAACAAAAGACACCCGCTGATTGCAAACTATGTTATGAATACAACACAACTGTCCCTTGTAACAGAATATAAGTACTTAGGAGTCATTTTTTCCAGCAATTTGACTTGGAATGCCCACATAAATTACATCGTAACAAAGGCCAGCAACACATTAAACTTCTTAAGACGTAACTTTAAACAAGCACCGGCCAGCCTGAAAGAAATCCTGTATATGTCGAATGTACGCCCACTTTTGGAATATGCGTGCGGCACGTGGGACCCTTTTACTAAGGTGAACATCGACGCTCTAGAACGCGTGCAGCTGAGAGCGGCCCGTTTCGTCACGGATGATTACAACTTTTCTAAAATATCTTTCGAAATCAGGAGTACTTTAGGATGGCCTCCTCTTGAAGACAGGCGCAAATTCGTACGTTTATCTCTGTTTCACAAAATATTCCATGGTTTAACGGGTATTCGCAAAGAAAACTACATATCGGAGCCTACGTATATATCTGCTCGTACTGATCACCCCTTAAAGTGCGCGAGTTCGCTACCAGAATTAACCTTTTTAAATATTCATTTTTTCCGCGATCAATTAAGCAATGGAACAAACTACCTCATGAAATTGTAGCTGCATCCAGGGAAACATTCGCCACTGCGCCGGAAAATCATATTTTATCGAAGCCTGAGCACACATTAAAGTTGCCTACACTTTCGTTTCATCTCTCTAGCGATCTACGCTTCAGTTTTTTTTTTTTTTTTGTACCTTCACACATGTCAATGTTTATTACGTGTCACCATTGGATGCTTTATTATGTATCTGTATTCTTTTATGTTCAACTCAGTGTTAATGGACTGTCGCCTTTCTCTATTTCGAAATCGTTATCTCCCCCCTACACTAATGCCCCTCGCGGGCGCTGTAGGTAGGTAAATAAATAAATAAATAAAAGAAAATGAAGGCCGAAGTTTCATTTTTAAATTCACCATGATGTCATGAACGTCAAAAAGCTTCTTTCTCGTTTTTTCCATATTGGCTATGCAAGATTTCCCGAAACTTGGTACAGTGAGGTTGCTGCCCCCTCAAATGACAACGTACTTCACTATTGCCAGTTAAGAAGAATGCAAGCCCTGGCTCAGAATTAAAGCTTAAGTTAGAGTACTTTGTAACTAACAATAACAAAGTGCACACGCTGCCCATTTGGAACACATCAGGCCGTAAAAGTGTAGCTCTCATATTGCCTTTAGCATAAATTAAGATGATCCTCAATCGTTGCGATTGGGTTGAGACCGCCACACAAAAGAGGGGGGAAAAAGAGCACTCACCAAGTACGTCGAGGTAGATCCAAGTCCCATTGCGAATGGTTTCCCGGTTGAGGAAGAAGACCTTGCACTCATACCAGCCCTTGTCTGACTCACGCACATTTGTTAGGTTCAGCGATGACTGGCCCGAAAGAGAAATGCGTTCTTTGTAGTCATCGGCCGCATGTGGTGGGTATCCATCGTACCTGCATGCCACACCGAAACAAAATTTTCCCGATTAGGACAGAGGCTGACATAGCATTTGTGAATAAAAGTGAACGTGTTTAATAGTAGAAAACAAAACCGGACTTAATGGACTGTACAAGAGCAAACTTGATAACTAAGTGAGCTGAATGATATGTCTAAAGGGAGACTAAAGTCTAATAACAATTTACGTCAGAGTGAAAACTCAATGTATGACAACTGAAACGACAATATTATGATGAACAGCAGTGCTCTACTTACCGAGAAATTGAGGAAAATGCACAAGAATACATGCGCTGCAGTAGGACATTCTCAAAATGATACCGACGACGTCAGACGAACCGCCTACAATTAATCACAAGTAATCGATCTAGCTGTACTAAATAAAGAACCTTCCGTGCATCAAAAGACGCAATAGAATGCCACTTGTTCGTTTCTGTTTGATTCATGAAAAAAATAACCGCAGGACATTACTGTGGGGAATGACGTGAGTGGTTCAAAAATTTAATTTTCGCGTCGTTAAACTGGACATATCATGCCATATAGCAGGGTGCAGTTCAACCAAAACACGTTTGCCATCTCGAAGCAAATGGAAAGAAAGTGATCAATAGCTGCTGCTGTGGCTCCCGCTGCTTTCGTTCTGTCTACTAGTGTCGGCGAACGCGTAGTAAAGCTGGGCAACGTTGTGCACGTCAACAGTGACGTGAGATGGTCCACTTCTTGAGGCGGGTAATTTGAAGTGCGCTAACCCAATGTGGGCCACTAAAACACTATTTTTCTTTCAAAATAAGCCCTTCCTTGGCACAAAAGCAACACTACGAGGGTTCCGAACTGCTATTTCAACAATCAACATCGACTTAATAGTTGCCTTTAGTGTCCCTTTAAGGAGCTCAGAATTTATAGTTCATAGTCAGCAATGTTTCATGTTAAGCACATTTTTTAGCTTAGTTCTAGAATACACACAATCAACTTAACACCATGAGACTCAACTTAGGACAGATATATTAGCTGGGCAGAGAACAGCAGATTTGCAGAGGCTTTACAGCAGTTCCTGAGCGATGAATAACTTGAATCTTTAATTTAATATTAGCTTATTTACCACATGCCTCATTAATTTTCCTCCAAAAAGTATGCACAGCTATGGAGTCACTATCAAGCCATGTGTGGAGTCACTATCAAGCTAAGAAGAAGTTCCCAACAGAAATAAAATTCTTTGTCGGGGTTCAACGTCCTGGAACCATGATATGATTATGAGAGACATTGTAATGGAGGGCTCCAGAAATTTCGACCACTTGAGATTCTTTAACGTTCACCCTAATCTAAATACACAGGCCTCAAGCATTTTCAAAAAGTATAAAATACGGCCTCCACGGCCGAGATTGGAACCAACCACCTTTGTTTGGGTCAGCAGTTGAGATTGACCACTAGGCCAGTGTGACGAGTCAACCGAAATAAAGCATAGCAAGACATACATGAGACACAAAACACATAGGCTCCCCGTCCTGTCACACATCTAAAATGTCAATAATTTTATTTTTCTCTCAAAAAGCTAAAAAAAGAGGCATCTTTTAGTAGCAGGAGTGGTGAGAGAACATGCAGGTCAGCATCCTCAAATGGAAGTGCTCACAAGTTTGTGCTGAAATTCTCGGTATATGTATCTGTGGAATACTGTACACATTTATGCATCTAGCCATGTGAAACAGACACAACTGCTCAGATTCTACAAATATTTAGGTCCAACATGGTAACCACAAACCTTAAACAGAACATCAAACAATGCATAATTTCTAGCTAGCCACCTGCAAGATATTTCAAAAAGCATTGATTCCCATGGTATGTACATAGAATATACTTAATTCTTGAGTGTTACCAGCACAAATGTGTGCATTTGCTTTAGAGCCCCACTATGGTCTCAAACCTCAATATGATGAACCCTGATATAACGAAATATCGGTTATAACGAAGTAAATGAAAAATAGATACAGTGCTAGGAATAAACCTTTATAACAAATTTTTGAATATAACAAACTTACTTTGTGTAATATGCGACTTTGTTATAATGAGGTTTGAGTATCTATAGACAAGGCATGTTACATATATTTATAGGGATGCGACATATGTTGCCTATGGACAGGATGCATGTAGGAGAGCAGCGAAAAGTACGCCAGCACATGAACGTTCGAGATAGAATGTGATCTTTATTGCGCTACGCGGTGCAAACGCTGTAAGCTGGAGTGCACTGAGCACTCCGCTCGGGATTCGTTGCGCTGTAAGTGATTGTGGGGGCGTGCCCACTACAATATTTATTTATTTTTATTTATTTTAACATACCGCAGGTTTTTCACGGCCCATGCAGGAGTGGGTACAAGAAAATACGTACTAAACATCGAAAGAAAATACATACACGAAGTAACAAGAAAAAGATACATTCTCAACTGCTCATAATTAAAATTGGACACACTGTATCAAGTTCATAAATTATTGAATTTTATAAACAAAGTGGGCACATACCAGATGTAAATTGGTATCTTGTGGTCCTTTTTGTGCCACTGGACAAGATAGGGTACAGGCATGCCATCTGGGTACTCGAAGGGGCAGTGCAAGATCACATCCTGCCCCAGAAGAGCCGTCATGTGCTCCGGCTCCTGTGATGGTAGCCCAGATGCATCTGCAACCATAAATAGGCATGGCACAGGAACCTACATGATAGGTCGCAAATGTCTTCTATGAAATTTATGCTGGTCCACTCATAACAAAATAATCGGCCTTTCAGAAATACAAAGCTGTTGGGAGCCTGCCCTTAAAGCTCATCCGCACAAAAGGCCACTTAAGCTCTTTTACATTGCATTATTGCAGCAGACTTACTTCTCCAGCGATAGATATGCTGCATTTCGATCAATGTGAATTTGAACAATCCAGACTCATACCTCCTCTTCTCCCTCCTCTTTCTTTTTCTCTTCTCACAAGGAGAGAACGAACTGGCTAAGTTCTCCCTCCCTCTCTCTATTTAAAAAACAGTGACATACTTTTACGGTGTAAGAAGGCCTTCCTACACCGTGCATACTCCTGACTGACACCATAGATGCATTGAGGAGCTGCCATTTTCTTAGACTCACATGCTTTTTTCTTAAATCGTATTCTATTTTTTAATCACTGATTATCACTCGCTTTTCAGCATTATAGTAAACTCCTGTGACAACCAAACTTCCCGGAATACGAAGCGTCCCTAAAAGTTTAATGTGCTATGTCTTCGTTTCCATTTTATCTAGAAGTAGCACAAATTATAACTGTGGCACTCAGGTGTCGGGTTGCAGCTTTCTTTCCACAGCATCAACAGTATTATATAGAGGAAAGTGTGCCGTGTTGAAATAGAGTGTGCGCAGGCTCTCACTACACCTTCATGGCAACTTCCATAATGTAGATTCAGCGAACCTTAAAACAAGGCAAAATCAAAACAAGCAAGCAAGAATCACTTCTTTGATTTCTTTCTGTTTTTTTTTTATTCCTACAACATAAAAATGTACTCTTTTCCAAAGAACGCAGCCTCCAATATTCATGGCAGTCTTGCACATATGACTAAAATCAAACTGAAGAAAATTCATGACTCAATTTTCGAATGAAAAAGTGCTATATTATATGCCTCCATATTATTTGAAAAGTGTTCCTAAAGTGTTCCGAAAAGTGTTCCTAAACTTCCTATAGCTAATAATTTAACTTTTTCAACAAGCCTTCATTGGGAAAGCACATGCAAATGTATTTTTTCTTGTTTTATTTTTCATAACAATGATGGCAACAAATTCAAAGTAAGTAATAAGAAAAGGTGAAAACTTCTTTTTTCTTTTCTTTAAGGGCAGGGAAGACGCCTGTCCAGGAAAAATTTAAAGGGACACTAAAGAGCAAAGTGATTTTACTCGTATTAGTAGACTACTCTTTCACGATACCAAAAAACACCAAGCCTGCTGCGATAAGAAGCCTAGTAAGCAAGAAAATGCGCAAAAAGAAAATGTGAGTAGCGCCGCCACTTTGAAGTCTTCGCACCAGTCATTGTGACGTCACATATTTTGACGACGCTTACTAGGGCCTACGTAGTTCCCAATGATTAAAAATGAGGTATTTTATCTTCTAACGGAGCCATAGACTTAACATGGCATGTTTGAGGAAATTTCGTTGAACCAATAGCTCTAAAATACGATAAATACACTTTGAAACCATGACGCCACACACAGAGATCTTGACATGAGATTTAAGAATTAAACTCTGAACTTGGTGTTCTGCTCTATCAATAAAAATATGATGATGAAATTGAGAACATTAGAGTTATCAGAGTTCAACTTGGCAATCTAAACTTATTCATTGTTTCTCTTTAGTGTCTTAATAGAATTATTCGGTATTTTCTACAAAAACTACATATTCAAGCAGATTTGTATTATCTACATTATAACAAAAAATATGCATTTTTTAGAGAATATTTTGTATTGTAATCTTCATAACTTCGCTTTGTGAAACTCAATAGCAAAATATGCGGCATGACTGCCAGAGAGCTGGTCTAAGTGATGACGCTAATTTTATTGTTTTCACCGAACATCCAATGAAAAATAAATGGATGCAAACAGGAGTGAAATATTTATTTTATTTATTTATTTATTTATTTATTTATTTGTACATACTGCAGGCCCTAATCGGGCCCATGCAGGAGTGGATACATAGAAGTAACACGAGGCATAATAATGCTCCACAAAAAGAAAAGAAAGAAAGTATTGATACACATAGGATACTTCATGATTCACATGTATACATTTTTAGAAAAATCAATCTCTTTTAGACAGTTGACAAAAGATTTCAGCGTAGAACAATTCACAGCATTGACTGGCAGCCTATTCCAAAAACTAATGGCCATTGAGAACAAAGAATACTTATGTGTACTGACACGGCTAGCAGATCGAAAGATGACCTTATTATGGTTTGTCCTGAGTGAGTGTTTAAATGGGTCCTGTAAGTACAGATTGCGTGGTATCTTAAGATGACCGTGATAGAGTGAGTATAGGAACTTTAACCTAGAAATTATTCTCCGTTTGGAAAGTGGCTGAAGATTCGCTCTATTAATTAGATCAATGACGCTTGAATGCCGCGAATAATTAGAGTAGATGAACCATGCAGCTAATTTCTGGATGCGTTCAATTTTGTCTATTTGGTGTTGTTGGTGGGGACTCCATATTATCTCGGCATATTCTAAGGCAGGGCGAATAAGAGTCTTGTATGCATTTAATTTGACTTGGGCCCGAGCATTTCGCAACCTTCTTCTAAGAAAGGATAGCTTCCTTAACGCTTTTTTGCAGACGGTGTCGATATGAGGTTCCCAACTTAAGTTTGCTGAAAGCGTGACACCAAGGTATTTCACCTGATCACTTTTAGGGAGTTCAATATTTTCTAAAGTGTACGAAAAATTAAGCGGATTCTTCTTATTATTGAATGTGAGACATTTAGTTTTAGATGCGTTCAGTCTCATGCCCCATCTCTGGCACCAAGCGCAAATATTTTTTAGAGAGTTATTCAAGCCGATTTGGTCCTCTGAAAGTCTTACAACTGTATACACGACACAATCATCTGCGAAAAGCCGCATCTGGATTGGTGACTGAATACAAAATTGGATATCATTGATATAAATAAGAAATAGTAGAGGTGCAAGGACTGAACCCTGTGGTACTCCCGAGTACACATGGAGGCTATCGGACATATCCGTGTTCACGGCTACACGTTGTGTTCTGTTCATTAAGAAGCTGGAAATTCACGAGATTAAGGTGTCATCAATACCAAAAGAATGTAGTTTTGTGATTAAATCTTCATGTGGGACCACGTCAAATGCCTTTGAAAAGTCTAAGAATATGGCATCAACCTGACTGTTGGTATTAACAGTGTTGGCGAGGTCATTAGTTATTTAGTTATGGTTATTATGGTTATTAGTTATGCTTCATTGACTACGATTATCAAGAATTATAACTTGGTTAACAACATCATAAGAAAATGTATAGCATCATCGGCTAGACCAGCTTTCTGACAATTTTGCTGCATACTCTATTTGCGCATTTTATGGAGAGAAGTAGCCACAAATTCCCACAAGAATTATGCTATAAAACATTGTTGAAATACCATGTTTTTTGCTCTAATGCAGCTATTGAAAATCCACTGAGAGATTTGGAATCGGCGAAAAAATCTGAATAAATGTACTAAATTTCATTATGTTCACCCGATTGTTTAAAAAATATTTTTCAAGACCGACGTCTCCCTTTGCTCAAAAACTAAAGGAAGGGTTACTCCAGTACCAAATCAAGCTCTGTTACTCTTGGCCAGTGAATGAAGAGACTAAAACAGTATATCATAACAAAAACAAAAATCGTTTGGGGATGAGCACCATTAATCTACAAAGGATAGCAGCAGCCTAATAAAACAGCACAGCTGCAATGGGAAATGAAAAAGGGAGAACATTTCTCTGTATGCAGTGCCCAGTCTGTGTTTTCTCTAGTATTGAAAATAAACACGAGCCATGATGATGTGATGTCCAAACATAAGCTATAGCTGGCCTATGGCCTGAATTTCGCCCCTACAGCCTGCTGCACAAGGCATACACACAAATGATTGTCCACACGTGGCTTGCGTGCCCACACGTGCACTCAAGAAGGGCAGAGGGGTAAGTTCTATTATTAGTATACACTGGCACGAAGCAGCAGGCAGGGATCAGCAAGAGCTGCCCCATCCCCTAACTTGGAACAAACAACACGTGGAAGAATTTGGCAGCTGAACCCACATTAATAATTTCTTTGCCACAGAATGGTCTAATCTCAACTGTGCCTTACATGTGATGTCGTACAATCACATCCCACAGGCCTTTCTCTTCTCTAGCTAGGCCAAGTATTATTTGTCTAGGTATTTTGCTCTGCGTATATCAAGGTAAAGTACTGGTGCTCATAGAGTAAACATTATCAAACTATGAAGGGGGCAGCAACTTGAAGAATAAAAAAAATCACAGCATATCTACGAAGTGAATAATAATGAGCGGGCAAAGCTCTGGAGGTACATCGGTAAACCGCGAAGGGTCGAGAAAGGGAAGGGTCAAGAAAAATGCATGCACAAAAAAAGATGTACTGCAGAGCGGGAGTGCTATAGCCTATTCAGTAGGCCACTGCCGTGCAAAAAGTTCAGTAAGGCCTTGATTAATTTTTGGTGCGAAGAGAGGTTGAGAAGAAAATAAGAACTACACATTATATAATGAAATCAAAAGTGATAAGATAAGACAAAGAGATCAGAAGACAGAAGTATGGATCAAAAGACAAACAGGGGTGGCAGATATCCTAGTTTATATAAAGAGAAAAAAAATGAACCTGGGCAGATCAGATCATGAGAAGGGCAGATCACCGATGGTCAGTTAGAGCAATGGAATGAACACCAAGAGATGGGGTGCACAGCCAAGAACGACACCAGGTTAGGTGCAATGAGAAAACTAATTAATTTGCAGATATAAAATTAATGTAATCAACTTACACAGGACAGGGTTTTTTGGAGGGGACTAGGAAACGCCACTGCCTGGCAGTGGACATAAGGTATGATGATGATCATGATGATGCAAAAAAAGTAAGATATTTACTGCATCATTTCAAGTGATAATTAAAGTCTGGAAATGTCGACTAAATGAAGTTTGGCACTGCTGAGTCATAGTTTGTTACTTTCTAGTGACGTCATGAGTTGCCATTTGCGGCTTATATTGTTGCAGAATATAGTTATATGGTAACAAATCTGAAGCTGAAATTAGCACTAATCTCATTGCATTTATTTTATACCACCTTTGTCTTCTGATACTGCCTTTCAATCATCTTAGTTTCATATCCTTACATTTCATTAGTACAATATTAAGGAGAAGAAAAGGAGCCCACATTAAATCCACATTAGACCAAGGAACAGTATGAACAATGTTGGAGCTCATGATTACACAGTATGCTTGCTTAATTATGAAATTAATTGTCTAAAGACAAATTTGCATTTAAACAGTAGAAACTACGAAAGTGAATCATAAGCTTAAACAAGCTTAATTTGTTATCTCTTCATTAAACAGCACTGGTTTTCTGATCAACAGCACCTTTAAAACTTTTTTTTATTATGAAAGGGGCAACATTTTAGCACACTATCAATTGAATTAAATTGAATCTTTATTTCAGACATGTATAAATAAAAGCATGACTGTAGAGAAGGGAGAAAAGCCGCTCAGTTGTGGCTTGACGAAGCTTCCTTGCTCCGCACACATGGGTAGAGCGGTATTACACGGTGCACAAATAGCACAGACATAAAAAAATATATCAGGCATAAAAATAAGTACAATGACAATTTTTCGAAATCCAATTTCGTGCTTTTATGCATTGTGCAATGTAACCCCTTGATGGCCATAAAACTTCAAGGACAAAATGAAGACTATGCTAGCACATTAGGAAGTTCCCATATATGTGCATGTCATTATATATATATATATATATATATATATATATATATATATATATATATATATATGTGTGTGTGTGTGTGTGTGTGTGTGTGTGTGTGTGTGTGTGTGTGTGTGTGTGTGTGTGTGTGTGTGTGTGTGTGTGTGTGTGTGTGTGTGTGTGTGTGTGTGTGTGTGTGTGTGTGATATGTGCACACGCGCATGATTTTTCATAGCATTGAAGAAAACAAGCAACTTCGAATGTCGTAGATGCTAAAGCTCTCTTAAGAACATGCAACAAAACGTGTGAGTTCAATCCTAGCAAAGTTGAGAAGTGCACTACTGAGGACAGAACTGGACAATGTTTCGTGATCTGCATTTATCAACTCTTAAAGCTACAGCTCACGTGACAGAACTAGCAATTGGTGCAGTGAACCAAGTAAGCTTGGAACCACTGAAGGTAACCCATAAAAAAACTTTGTCTCCTTGAAGTGTTTTTCTGAAATACTGAAGATGAGACATGGCCATTAACGTTAGCCAATTATATGTGAACTTGGTCACGAGTGCACCACAGTGTACATCCTTTAAAGAGCATTGGACATGAACAAAACTATAGTGAATGGCTATGCATGTTTCGTTTACATACAGGAGTATGCATGCTTCATTTACATTACTACAGACAATTTTAATGATCACCGAGTGAACTAAACGGCCACCTCTTTGACTGACATTACCATAAATAAGCAAATAAATAAATGTCTTAGTACAAAGGGTGAGTACAACGTATCTGATCGGAGGTGTGCACAACATGCTCTGCTCCCCTTATGCATGTGTAATGAGAGGTTCGTACGAAGGCCACAGGGTAACGGGAACACTCCAATGTTTCTTTTCATTTTTTTTCCTTTCTGAACGTGAGGACTGGCGCACGGGAAACGTAGTCCACGTACGCGCACGGGCGGCATTATTCGTGGATCGATCGATACACGCAGTCAAAATATAATCTCCCGACAGACGCGGAATCCGACGTGCTCGAGCCATCTGCCCGTACGCAAATCGTCGATATACGACGCGCACACGGGAACGGGTCGGGCTGGATGCGACACATGTACGGAGGTCCGAACCGAAGTTCGAGACACGGCATGGACGCGAGCCTGCACGAGGCGTTCTTTTTCCGCCCACTAGCGCGTAGGAGGGCCGAGAACAATACGAGCTCCACACAGTACATCTACGCGGGCGTCAAATGTCGGGGCGCGCACAGCGTCGGGCGAGGAGGGCTTCCCGCGATCACCGAAAAAATTCTGAAGCAGCGCGCGCACGAAAGGCGCGACTGCGATCCGACGCCGCGCGCTCTTCTCCAGCAGCACTGCATCGGCTGCGGCATCGCACGCGCCTTCAGCGTACGTTAACGCGCACTGCCGCCACTCAACGTTAAACCACACCTTGCCCCCGCTGTAAACGCGGGATCACCGTATCTAAATCGCGGCGGTAACTTCGTCAGTCGAAGTACAATGAAACTCAGAATACAAGACACACATCGTACACGCAACACCAATGTCGCGAAAAGTGGCACCCGCCCTTTCCCTCTTTCGGATGGCGCCGACGCTCGATCGGCAAACATACGCGACCGCGCGTACCCGACCACAGGCCGCGCTTTCGATCCTGTTCCTGCGGCGATGCGATGCTCTCGTTCAGGGTGACCCGCGGAACAGAGCAGCACGCCTCGCAACATGTAGAAATAGATTTTCATTCTTCTCTGATCTCCCCTTTTCTCTGTCTGTAGTCTCTTAGCGCGTGAAAACCACTCGTCGCGCTGCAAGAGAACCGAACGCGGGCACACCGCCCGCGATCGTGTATAGCGGTGAAGCGCGCTTGACGCTGCTGCAATCTCCGCGATAGCCAACACAAGAGTTCGCGCAGGGCAAAGCCGCGTAGTGGGCGCGACGCGGCGAAGAGCAGAAGTGAACGTCCCTTGCGTAGGCAGCGACGATCTAGCGGTCAGCGCCGTTTTGATAGCCGAAGTTGTAGGACCAGCAACGTCCAGTGGAGAAACAGGTTCGAAAGGAGACGAGCGCGCGTCCCCGCCCCCGTGGAGAAAGCACACCGAAACCACATGCCCGCGGTTCTTCAGCCCCGAGTGACTCCCGACGACGCCTGCATCTGTCCCTCTCGGAGCTCAACGGAGATGCTTCCGGGCGCGACGGACACGCGAGGACCAGGAGCGCGGTTCTGGTCTCGAGGTGTGTGCCCAGCGCCGCGGGTAGGCTTAGCGCGCTGACCGGCCATCAAGATGTGACAGGAGAGAGCGAGCGCCGCGGCCTTACCTGAATGGGGGCTCCGTAGGCAGAGGAGAAGAGCCACTAGTAGGCATGGTTGCTTCACGATCATCTCATCGGGATTGTTGGACCGTAGACGAACGTTCTTCGTGCGTATTCCAGTGGTAAATAAATCGCGCTACGCGCAGCCCATTTTCGGAGACAACACCAGTCGCATTTTCAACATTTTGCCGGGAGACTCTCGACGGAGTCCACAAACCGCAACGCTTCCTCGACAGCCAATCGCGGCACGCTTAACGGGAGAAACTACGAGTGGCCGCGCGGACCAATAGGAGTGCGCCTACCATCGTGGCTGCCCGCGCGACTGCGTTAGCGCTGGCGGAGCACCAGTGAAAAACACAGGTTTCGGTTGCCTTTTCAGTGGCTCGTTTGTTGTTTCACACGTTGTGCGAGCTTAGCCGTGCTCTTGCACTGGCTAGATTAAAGTGCAGCATTTCTGATGGTGCCGGCGTACCTTCGAGCGATCAATAAAAAGTAGTCACTGACGGGCACTGGTGGCGTGTCCGCTGCATCTCGCTCTGTTTGCTTTCGCTTTTCCCGATGTTCGCGTGTTCGAGTCTGAGCTTGCGTGAACCCAACCATTTGCTATAACCATAATTGCTCTTCTTGCTTGCTTTGTACCCCAGTGAAAGAAGTAGCTCTCCCCTACTATGTGCGGAAAGATTGCAGATCGCTCTCGAAGAGAGGAGGTTAGTACCCGCGAGTTTCATGTGGCGCACTTCCCCGCGCGACACCGGCGCGACAATCAAATGGAAGCTACGCGATGTCGTTAAAGTCCCCTCTTTTATTTTGAATATATGAAAGTTAGCTTCTCGTGTACGTGCGCGCTGCAAACGTGGTTGCCCTCGGCATAATATATTATTCCTTTGATCTCGTCGAACTTGGATAATTACGTGCCCTGAATGAGAATCCGTGAATCGAAATGAATTGTACTCGGCACCATTCAGCGTGACTGTCCCACCGCATCCATCTTGACAGAATTAAGCTATCTTTAAGTTGACGACACCGAATAAATGATATAGTAACATTATTCTTCTTTTACGTAATATTCGTCCGGAACTTTGCTACTATAGAGAACAAACATGTAATAAGAGAAAACGATAAACGATGGTGGCACGCACTTTTCACTGGAAAGTGCTGGCTGTCTTGCGGAGTGAAAGTTCAAAACCTACATTCATGTTGAGAAGATTTTGCTTCATGAATATATAAAGTGCTCCTGATCACGTCGGGGTGTGCTTTTTTTTTTTTTTAGCATACATTTCTCATTGAAACCACACGAACATTGACACATGTAGTTTATGAGTATGGCACGCCACAGTAAACTTTACAGATAGAAATAAAATTGTAATAATGAAATTTGTCTATTTCGGCAGACGAGCAGAAGAAGTTCAGGGCTTCTATTTCTCGTGGAGGCTGAAATTTGTGAAGGTCGGTATGCTGGAACACTTGCATACGGAGCTTCGAGAACACGTCAAAGAAGCCCAATCGATTAGCATAAATCAAGATCTCACCATTACAGTGCCTCTCTCACTCACCATATATATTCGCTTTAAATCTCGATAAGTGCAACAATGGCAATTCTCCCTCTTTGTGAAGCGGTTGAATAGTGTCCCTCGTTGTGCATCAAGTAATTTGTCCAAATAACGACTCCCGCGTAGCCCCTGTACGCACCACTCTCCACCCTTAATTCCTTTTTTTCTTTGTTTTTTTTTTCATTCCAAGTCGACCGAAGTTCACGCAAACCGCTGCATCTAGCCTGTCATGTTCGGGCAGCTTCATCGGCTCTCAGATTTTAAAGTTCACCGCATGCTTAAGTCAAATAATTGATTGATTTATATGTGGCGTTTAACGTCCCAAAACCACTATATGATTATGAGAGACGCCGTAGTGGAGGGCTCCGGAAATTTCGACCACCTGGGGTTCTTTAACGTGCACCCAAATCTGAGCACACGGGCCTACAACGTTTCCGCCTCCATCGGAAATGCAGCCGCCGCAGCCGGGATTCGAACCCGCGCCCCGCGGGTCAGCAGCCGAGTACCTTAGCCACTAGACCACCGCGGCGGGGCTAAGTCAAATAAACTGTGTGCATAGAAATGGAAAGCATGTCTCTGTAAAAGCATCCGCCAAAGTTTTCCCATTGTGCACTCCAGGGAAAGAAACTGCGGCCGTGCCGAACAGACACTTTCCTTTTTCCTTGCCGCCTATCTGCCTCTGGCACGTACACCCGCACAATATGGGCTGGCTATAACATCCGGGTCAGCCGTGCCCTTCTTCCACTTACAGATTAAGCGGTAAGCGTGTAGGCGATGTTGAGTGTATACCTGTTTAGAAACAAGAACGATAAGCGAAAAATGGTGTCGGGAGGAAAGCGCCTCTTCAGAAGCGTACTGCAGGATGTCAAAATAAAAAAAAAAAAAGCTGGGGAGGCGAAAGACAAATGCCGAGGCATAGCGCTGGTAGTAGATACGTGGAAAGTGGATCAAAATGAGCCAGTGTCGATGTCACACTGTACTTTGCTGAGATATATATGGACGTATGTCCCTGCTTCCAAAAGAACTTTCTTTTGCTCCATATCTATATATACACAGTGATTATAAATCAGTGATGTACTTAAACACTTAATAATAACAATATTGACTGTCGGGTTTTACGAAACTACGATGTGATTACGCGAGATGCCGTAATGGAGGGCTCCAAAAATGTTGACCACCTGGAGTCCTGGGGTTCTTTAACGTGTACCTAAATAATGGTTGTAGTCAAAATGGGCGTATAGCCATGGGTTCAACCATATTTTATGTGAGTTCGTGCGTGCGTTTGTGTACGCAAGTAAAACTGAATATTTCCGCAGGGGTGGGGTGGAACCCCCCAAACCTTCTACGTCAGTTCTCAATTTTACTCGCAAATGGCGCGCTTAGTTGCACTGTTCCCGCTAGTGCTGCAACGTGCACGTGGACGCAAGTGAAGTGTGGTCACACGAAATATTGGGCAATTAAGTATATACCGTTCGAATTTACTATCACTTACAATTTCCAGTTTGGCTGTCGGTGCAGCAGGCAATGTTTGCAGTCAGAACTGACCAGAATTTTATTATCCGACCTATCCCGCTTCTCCTTTTCCTATCACGTATGTTGGGTTCCCTTGAGGCAATGGCGCAGCCACTTGTTTTTGTTTTTTTTTTCCTGCAGGGGAGGGAAGGGGAGGGGTTCGACTACACTTGTTGTATTCTCGTGGTGGTGGTGGTAGTGGTTACAATGAAGAGGAAAAAGGCACCTAATTTCTGTCTGCCTTCAGGCGACACGGCGCAGTGCCTTATAGGGGTGGGGGGAAGGAGGGATAAAAAGAATAGAAGGAAAGTAGAAGCAGAAGAAGACAGCCAACGAGAGGAAAAAAGAAGGAGATAGGAAAGTGGGGATCCAGTCGAAGCAGTCCAAGGGCGGGGTGCCACAATGCGAGAGCTACACGGCGTCAGGAGACCGCGGAGGGCGAACCAGTCGGCGGGAGCTACGCTGAAGTCGGAGATCGCGAGGGCACAACCGTCCAGCTTGAAATCCTGCGAGCGAATCCCATTCTCGTGCGTGCGGTTGAATGCGCTGTACGAAAAATTGGTTGAAAGTTGGGGGGGGGGGGGGGGAAGGGTGAACTCTCCACCCTCACCAGGTTGCGGCATTGCACACGGAGCGGTGACGTGGACGTCCCCAGGCTGGTGCCCATCGATAAAGACGCGCATTTATCCACTGGAAAAATGTCGCAGCTTATATTCTAGACGTGACTAAATTTTTCGAACTGTTAGACATTTTCACATTGACTGAGGGGTAATTCTAGACGCCTAAAGCACCACAGGAAGAAATGATCATTATTTCTTCCTGTGGTGCTTTAGGCGTCTAGAATTACCCCTCAGTATGATGAACCAGCTAGCCCAACAACAAGTTACAAGTACTTCTAATTTTCGCATTGAATTGCACACGTGAAGACACCGTAGCCAGGGTATGCATGTTCTAGCCGGGGGGGGGGGGGGGGGGGGGTTGAGGGTTAATTAGAGCAGGAAGACGTCCAGGTCACCATCCGTTGTAAGGCTGGCGCTCATGGCATCCATCCATCTGACTACGCCTTCGCTTTCGTTTTTTGTATTCTCGAAATTGTTCCTCATTATTTGTGAATGCATGTACATGCCACCAGTTTCGTTCGAGCTGGAAGTCGCGCCTGTGGGCCACTTCCATGCGGTTGTTTCGAACCGACTGGGGGCGCACGGTTTACACCGACCTCGTCAGAGTGTGAGGGGGGCCTTGGCGTGGGCGCACATCCGTGATATGCAGCGTCATGCTCTCCACGCCGCTCCGCCGATGAGGCCCCCGTGGGCACGTGCCGCACCTGCCGCGGAGCGAAAACGCATATGATACTACGCACCCAGCACCCCCGAGGTGGAGGGGGGCCTCGCTTCAGTCGCAGCGTGACGAGTCCGCTCCTCCTCCTCCTCAATTTCCTACCAACGCAATGGGAGGTTTCATGCGGCAGACGTTGTGAACGCGGTGTATACCGTTGTTGACTCGGCTCTGAAGGTTCCGACGGCACCACGGGAGGGAAGTCCGGCGAAAAGTCGGTCCCTGCTCGTTGTCCGTGGACACACAGAGCGAGGACAAAAACGCGGAAGGAGACGCATGCACGCGCCAGGAACACGGCTACTCGTACAATTAGTAAAACGAGGAAAATACGAAGAAAACGAACGTGTCCTAAAATAAAGCGGCACACAACTCGAATACGGCCGCTTTGAGACTTTCAGTACATATCTGCACCACGACCGCTGGTTAGAAGTTTTCATCCAGCGGCAGGTGCACTATGAAGCCATGCACACTGCTCCACTTCTGAAAGAAAATTGACTTTTCTATAATAGTGATTTTAACGCGGGGCACAGGGGCGGCACCAAAAGGGCAGCTGGGGGAGGGGGGCAGCAGGTAGTTGTCCGATTCCCCCCCCCCCCCAGAGGGGTAACTGGATCATTTGTGGATGCCCCCTCACCTAGGTGAACGCCGTCCCTATAACGGAACATGGAAATCCACCTGAATTTTGGCAAGTCTAGACGCAACGAATTGTCTGAGCAAAGTTCAGGCGGCAGGTGCGTAGGCAGAAATTTTTTTCTGAGGGGGGGTTGCACCC